AATTAAATTCTTAGCAATGCGCACAGTGAGGAAAAAGATGGTTTCCAAGGAGTACCATCAGGTTCTCCAAAGCAAACAAAGGTCATTCCCAACCATAATGAATGAGGGTCCATGCTGCTGTTGATCATAACACATACTTACCAAGGACCTAGACTCTGCCAGGCAGGAAGATGGGACATTAATGCCATACCAAGAAGTATCTCACACCTACCTAGTTCAGTTGTCCTGGTGACCCTATAAGGTAGGCATCCTCATGACCATTTTAGAGATGGTAAAATCAAAAGACCTCAGAAGGTGAAAGGGCTTGTCCAAACCCTATAGATGGGAAGGAACAGCCAGGTCTGACTCCACACCGAGAATGCACGTTGTAACCCAGGAGCTGTGAGATCAAATGTGGAGTGACACTGGCCTTTGGACAGCAGAAAACAAGTCCCCGGAGCTCAGGGCTTGGGAAGGGACCCAGAGGATGAGAAGAGCAGGAATGGCGGGAAGCAGCAGGCAGATGTAGGCAGAGATCTGAGGAGTAGGGACAAGCACCAGGCCACAGCCAATAGGATAGGAGTGGCTGGCCACATGGCACACAGAAGAGCCCACACTCACACAGGTACTCAGGGGTCTCGGACATCTCACTGTGAGCACAGTCCATTAGAACCAAGGATGTAGCTGATCTAAAGTGACATCAAGGGGGCTACAGGGGGGAAAACCATACCAGAGGACAAGACGAGGCCGGGAGGTAACAGGACAGTATTATAAAGTAAGAGGCTTTGCTTTACCAGCAAATAATGGGACAGGTTTCTTAGCATGTTGTCCTCAGAGCACGCAGAGGTGTTCGTTCCTGAAGTTGTGTTCCTGGGATCCCTCCTCCACCTCTGCACACAGCTGCATATTCAATTCCTCACCGTTTCCCAGCCTTGCCATAAAGATAGGTGTTTACTGTAACCTTTGTATAAACCCACTTAATGAAGCCAGCGGGTTATCCAGCTCGGCACTGGGTGAACTTGGGGTGACCCATTCTTGGAAAGAAGTAGCTATGGTCTTAAGGCCCAATGGAATTTGGCTGGAAATCATGTGTACCCCACCCCGAGCACCCTCTGGGTTGCTTAGGATGCACCTCACTCTGGCATCATACTCTCCAACAATGAAGTCTGTGACTCTCTTTTCTACCTTTGTATAGAGGCCTTCTGAGTTCCCAACAGTAGATCCCTGGGGGATACTGTGGAGTAAAGGGCTGCAGCCAAGTTGGGACAGGCAGAATTGGCCATGGGAGACACTGGCCTTAAAGGGACAGGAATCACCATAGGTGCTGAGCCTTACTCCTTGGGTTTGAATCCTGTCTCAGGTGTGAATCTGGACAAATTACTGAGTGTCTCATAAAAGGATCTCCAGACACTTTGTGGAGTACAGGCATCCGTGTCTGTGAGAGAATACATGAGTGGGTTTCCACAGCTTGATCAGAGAGCCCAGCACATCCTCAAGCTGAATCCTGGCTGGATGTGATAGGCATAGTGACGCTTCCTGGTCCATGCCCTCAGCTGTCTGGATTGTGACCAGACTTATTGCTTAGCTGCTGCAGGGCCCTGGGCAAGTGGCCAGCACCTTGCACCTTGCAAAGTGACACTACACCAAGTAAACATTTCCTTCCCCTACCATGGGTAGGATTCCCCAAGTACCGGGCATGTGAGCCCCAGAAACACTGGCCACAAGATGCTACCTGCCATGGGAAGAGGTCAGTCAGCTGAAGGTAGCTGGCTCTTCCTGGCGACTCACCAAGGCTTAGAGGGAAAAGAAGGTGGAGCTGGGAAGATCAAAAAGAGAAATGGATGCTGGGTAGAGGCCTGGGCCTGTGGGCCCCAGTTTTCCTTGAGGGGTAGGCCTCAAGAGAGTGGCTGTGAGAACAGAAACCAAAGCCTTAGGAGCAATGACTGAGAACGTGTACCCCACCCCAAGCCACAGAAAAGACACAGGCCATGATTACAGCACTCAGCTCAAAACCTCAGCTCTCAGGTGACTGGATAAGGAGGGGAAGGGGCAGATTCAGCCTTGGAGACCCAGCTCCTTCGACCAGAGTAGGGCTCTGGACACATATTGGGGTCTGTAGAAACCCTTAAGAGGCTTTTGGTTATTTGGAGGTGTTCGTTTGGTTGTTTGGTTGTTTGGTTGGTTGTTTGTTTGTTTGGTTGGTTGGTTGGGTTCGGGTTTGGGTTTTTTCTTTGTTTAATTCTTTTGTTTTTGTTGACAATTTGGTAGAGGAAAAAGACACCAAAGTGCCTGGTGTAGGATTTCCTGCTCCATGATGGGAGTTCCTTAACAAGCTGAGGTTAAGCATGAGAAATAAAAAAGCAATCCATTTGTATGGTACTGGGATTGCCAGGCTCCTGGTGGCCACCTGGCTAGGAAATCCAAAGGAAACAGCAGCCATATAACCCTGACCTTCGGTAAGAAAGACAAGGAGAAAGCAGGCTACAACTCTTCATGGAACATGACCTTGGCTAGGGACCTCAAACATCCCAGAGCATGTAGTCCCTGCCTAGCCGGGGTAGGAAGCAACTGGGAGGGTCTCAGGCTGGGTGGACTCCATGTGGAACTGAGCTAACACACAGGCCCAGGCTTCTGCACAGCACATGCGTGGGGGTCGGGCTCTACACTGTGCTAAGCAGGGGACCCTGACTGAGAACTTTCCCATGACCAGCTATAGATCAAGCAAAGTGAAGAGGACCCAGTAGGACATAGATCTTTCAGCCTTAGGGGCACCCTCTACTTTAAAGCTGCAGGCCCCCAGTCCTCAGCTCACCAAGCCCCAGCCCAGGCCTCCCCGCTTAGCCCCTACAGGCTGCAGCAATAACAGACTAGTCTCGACTCGTCAGATTCTCTGTCCTGCACAAAATCACATGCCACTGGCTTAGAGGACCGGGGTACAGAGGTGCTTGAAGACTTCATAGGATGAGCTATGGGCTTCATCCTCCTAGTGGGTCTGGAAGAAGAAGCAAGAAAAATTCCACCTGCTTTCCTGTCTACAGACTCTGTAGCTCTACTCCCCTGGAAACAACACAGGCGATCAGTGGCAGGAGCTCTGAGACTGTGCCTCCTAGTAGGGACTCTGGCAGCAATGCCTAAGATAATGACAAGGAATTCTGGGTCCTGATAGGGACTTGAGAAGCTTGCACACCTGTCTGTGTGAGTTGCATTCTCAGGCCTGAGTCACTTCCTGGGGGTAGAAGGGGGTGGACACTGGCCCCGACTGAGCTATGCGGAAGCTCCTGGGAAGACCACTCCATGAGGGGCTCAGCTCCTTGCTCCTGCCAGCCGCTGCTAGGATGTCAGAGGGCCTGTGGGATGATGCAGGTCCACCCATCCCGCTGTGGTCACAGAAGCTCTTCCACGAGGCATGGCCTGGGATCTGTCAGTTGTGTTCCTCGGAGTCACAAGGACACTGTTTGTCTGCAGCAGGGAAATGACTGAGCTGGGAGTGCCCAGACAGGTTGACTGCAGAGTTAAGGCCACTGTCACATAAGGTGTTGAGTGAAAAAGCCAGGCAGACAAGGAGGCTGCCCTCTCCTTCACAGTATGTAGGGACACAAGGTACAAGGACCACACTCCAGCACAGCCTGCAGGGATTCTACACAGGTGGTTGCAGGGACAGAGTGGTGGACTTCTCATTGACCCTCTGGGATGCCCCAGGATGACTGTCTACAGAAGTCAGTTGAATCGTGCCCCCCTGCATCTCCTATCAGAGAAAGCAGGCATGCTTTCCATTTTCCTGTTACCCACACTCCTGCCACTCAATGACTCAGATGCCTGTTGTCAAAGATAGGTTCCTTGGGATTTAATTAAGCCACTGGGTATCGGTATGTTGCAAAGGCTGGGTTTGTGGGTCACAGGTGTTGGGGGACTCAGACTTCAGCAGAGAATCAACACTTCTGAGCCATCCTGGTGTGTTTGCTTCAAGCTGGAGCCTTCACTGGAATGACCTCCTTTCTGGAGAGCCCCTCTTCTGTCCAGAGCACTGCCCTCATTTCTCTGTCTTTGGATCTGGCTTCCCTACAATGTCAGGTCCCTGCTCCATGCTCAATGGGCCTGATCTGAACTCCAATCATTCCGCTTGCTTCCAGAAAATCATGGTGCCACTCACTTGGTCCTATAACTAACTACACAGCAAGAGGCTTCATCTGGCTTGCTGCCGCCATGTCCCATCTCAACTCACCACAAGCTCCTCCACCCTGACTCACCGTCCTATCCTTTATTCACACTGTCAATCTGATGGCTAACATTCTCTCCATCCTGAGTTTAAGAGCGTATAGCCACATAGGCAGGTACCTTTTGGAGCTGCCCCATCCTAGACTGACATCCCAAAGTTACTTCTTGGGGAATTTCCTCTGGAAGTTGACTTCTAGCACCTAGTTCCCAGTGAACTTAGGGTATACCATCCCTTATCCTATCCCCTGTGCTCTGGGAGGCTCCAACATCCAAGAAGATGACTGCACTCTCTACCAAGGATCCTGGGCAGTGAAAGCTCTATCTATGGTAGTTTTCTCTATGGTAAAGGATAGCCCTGGCCTCAGACCTCAGAACTCAAGAGCCTCTGAGTACTGCACTACCAGCCTGAGCAACTTTTTTGCCCCTACAAATTACAACAGATAGCTTGGGTCTGTTTTCTCAGTCCCCACTTCTCCCTGGTCTGAGGCACAGCCATGCTCTAGGACTTAGGCAGTGTCACACCTATACAAGTGTCGGAGCCTTCAGCTTTCCTCAGAAATCTACAATCCACAGGGTCCCCACATTGGCGACTCCAACTCTCTCTTGCTGGCCACCAGCTGCAAGTCCAGCTGTGCATGGAGTCAGAGGTTTCATTGTTGCTCTGTCAGACAGACTCTAGAAGAACATACTCAGTCCATGGAGATGTATGTACACCGGGCAGAGGGGCTGTCTGAGTCCATCTAGGCACAGGCAGTGCCTTCAGGGAGGCACACAGCACGGGGACAGGGCTGTGCCTATCCCCCAAGGCAGCAGCTACCAATGTCCTGGGTTTCTACTAATTGCACTTAAATTTCTGCCATCCAGATCCACCTTTGCCCTTGGCTCTTGAAGCTGTCACAGTGGGGATACTGGGGAGGCTCGTCATTATCCTGCAGAGGTCCACAGCAGAGGCTGGCCAGGTCCCCAGGCCTCCCCTTTAAGTGACTGTCGAATGTGCATAAGTTCTGTGTTCAAGCTCCAGACTTTGAAAAGCTTTGTTGCACTGTTGGATTTTGGTTTCAGTGAGGATGGGGCACCATGGGGACTCAGGTGATTCCAAAAGCTCTTTGTCTAGCCTGTAAGATCAAGAGATGAAGTGAAACAAAAAATCAAAGGTTAGGAAGAGTGGAGGTGGGTCCTGGTCTATCTTCTAGTCCACAGCATCCTGATCTTTCTTGATAGTCGCCCAGAGAACCTCCTCCATAACCCAGAAAAAGAAAGGAGCAGGATTTGGATAGCCCTAACCCCAGGGCTCCGTCAATGGAGCATGGTATGAGCTGTCTCCCAGACCCCAGAGTACCCCTTTATTCTCTCTATGTACAATGACTAAACATCATGTGCCTGGATATGTCCCAGGCAACGGGGGAATAAAAGGTACCTAACTTAAGCCTTTGTGAGCTAGTGTCAGAGGGAGGGACATTGCTAAGGACATTGGGTGGTACATCTAGGGATCTAGTAGGTGTCAGGGGCACCCTGGAGTTCAAGGATTCTCAACCTAGGTTAGATTCAGGGTCAAGACTCCAAAATTCAGAGGTCCTGGCAGATACTAGCGCTAGTATGGGCACTCAGCACCAAGAGGGTATGGAAAGGCAGGAACTCAGGCTGAAAGCTAGGTGCTTGGAAACAAGGGACCAACAGCTAAGGTAGGACCAGATCCTGGGATGCCTTCATTCTTTGAGTCTCTGAATATTGTCAAGCATCATAACTGGGCATGCAGGTTGAGATCCAGAGGCGAGGAGGTAGGGACTGCTGGCCCTGGACACTGTGCAGTCACATTAGGGATCTGGCCTCATGAATCACTTGCTTAGCAACCTGCTGCTCCTTGACCCTGGAAGGTCACTTGCTTTGGACCTGACAGGAGATGTGCACAAAGCAGGAACTACACCAGGCTGGAAATGACTTTGGAAATAGAACATAAACTCTGTGGATGAAATGCCACGGGGCCTCTCTTTCTCAGTAATCCTCACCATGTGCCTCTTTGGCAGGGCCCCAAGGACCCAGGACCACACAGCCCCTGAGGAGATGAAATGGAAGAATCCAAAACAAGGTTGCTTTCAAGGCTCCTCATCTCCCAAGGAGCAGCACAGTGGGAGGGGAGTCAACCTCCTCTTTCAATCGGCTTCACATCAGACCAATAGAAAGGAAAGGATACACACCCGAGTTCTCGGCGCATGGGAGTCGTCAAGGCCACAGAATGAATGCTAGTGAGAAAAACAAAAAAAGGAACAAAAACTATAACATAAGACCAAAAGAAAACAGGAATAGAAAAGAAGAGAAAAGAAAAGAAAAAAAGAAAAGAAAAACAAAAGAAAAAAAAGATGTGAGATGTGGTATGGAATTCAGTGACAGCATCTTACAAGAACTATGACACTAGGGGGCAGCAGAGAGGAGCTGCCACCAGGAGGTGCTGACTGCTCCCTCCAGCCTCATGTGCTCAGTGGGTTATACCTACAGGTGTCCCACCAATCTAGGCTAACAGGTGAAATCTATGCCACGTGCAGAGACTTTGGGGGATAAAAGTAAGGCTGCACAAGGAAACACCAGGGAAGGGCCTGCCCAAAGTCACAATCTCCTGCACCAGCATATGTTATAGTGGCCAGCAACATGGGAGGGAGCCAGGCCATCCTGCAGACAAGTGATCCTTCCCAACACTGCCCCTTGCAAGATATTTGTTAATATTTAAAACATCCTGTGCCTTTTACCAGTCAATATTAGGAAAACACTGCTGACAAAAATAACCTTACTAAACCAGAAAAGACAGATTAGTTAGTTTAAAAAAAAACAACTATTTTTTTTCTTAGTCTACTTGTGACTTGTCCTGTTTAAACAGAATCAGTGGTCATTAGAGGAAACGTAATTGACCACCACATGGGAATTTAAAAAATAATCCCCACCAAACAAAGTTATAGTTTCCTATGTTGTTTGTAGAGAAAAGCGAAAATCCAAATAACATCACCACTTTCTTCTATCCAATCTCTAGGATCAAGAGCTGTAAGGGTTCACTGTAATCCTAGAATACTTTATGTTCTACATGGGGAAACTAAAGGCTCAGGAGGAGGAGGGCTTAGTGAGACCACCCAGTGGATTGTGAATAAGACTGTCCATGAACAGAGAGAAAGATCACAAGCCACAGCTGATGGCATCAGAGTTTCCCATGATCACATGCAGGGAGTGACTGGGAGGACCTACAGGTGACAGTTAGGCTTGGTGGCACCCTTAGTCACATAGTCAAGCAGTAATCCACCAGTCAGATCAGCCTCTCCTGAGTGTGTTTGACCTGGGCATACCCTCCTGGGAAGATGGAGACAGGGCCATTCACAGATTAGCTCTGAGAAACTATGAGAGACTGGGAAAACAGTCCAAGTGATCCAGGTGCTCCCCCATGGAGGCATAGCCGGTATACCCAGCCAGCCTGATTTCTGACATTATTATCTGTGTATGTGTACATGTGTTGTGTGTGTGTTGGCTCACACATGCGTGTAGGGCAAAGAACAAGCTCACACTTCATTCCTTAGGTGGCACTGTCCTCTTCGGATTTTTGAGACAGGATATCTCACTGGCCTGGAACTCACCAGTCATGCCACACTATCTGACCAGTGAGTCCCCAAACTGCCTGTTTCCACCTCCGCACTGGATTTCTAACTGTCCCCCACCACACTCAGCTGTCCTTGGTGTGAGTGGTGGGAATCCCCCAAGCACAGGGAATGTGTGCAGAGCAAGCACTTTCCTGACTCAGGCCTCTTCCAACAACACCCCAGCCCCAACACACACTTTTAACATTTTAATGGGTGACAATCCCCTGTGGCCATGTTTGCACAGTTGTCACATTTAGCTATGACCCTCGAGGTGCCTATGAATGGAAAGACAGGCAGAGTTCATTCCCCCCACCACCACCCACTAATGGGCAATTATTATTCTCAAAGCAATAAGAAGCCCTCCACTTACAGCCCCCAGGGTCTTGGGCTATCCTGAGCCCAGACATGGAGCTAAAGCATTCTCAGTTGGATCAACCTGACATTCCCCTTAAGACTTTCCAATAGCCCTAGAGGGCTAAGGAGCGCTGGGCACCTTCCAGATGGGACTCTAGGATCTAGCACAGCCACTCAAAGGGTTCCCCAGAAGGGAACTGATGGGAAAACCCAGGTAGCTACTGCCTGGACACGGACCTCTGGTGCCCCCTGCCGACACAGCCAGCGATGCACCCAGAAACTCCATACAGAAAGAAACTTGTGACTGCCCTGTCTGAATTTGGCTTCTCAGGGAGAATACATCTGCCCCACAAGGAGTCTCAAGGAGCATTCTTTCTCTTTCTCTCTCCCCATCCCCTATATTTAGTATCTGACAACTGCTAGAAAGGCTGCCCCACTGATGAAGAGCCCCGAACTCTGCTCTCCAGTGACTTCCAGCAACTTGTCCCTGTTGTCCCTGGAGAGTCGAGTTTCTGACCCACAAGCTGACCTGGCATGTTTCAGCCCAGAAGTGGCCTTTATCTTTCTTTCTGGGCTTTCCCATATCCTCCTTTAGGATTCAGATACAGTCTTCTCAGGAACAGTAGCCTCACCCTGCAAAGCAGGCTTGGTCAGAAGGCCTGTGCCTCTCCCCATGGGTGACCTTACAACCCCACAGATGTAAGGCCGACCTTACCGCCTTGCTCCTTGACATAAGCTATGCGACTATGACTTCTCCCTGGAATTGTCTAAGACCACCCTACTCCCTTCCTTGGAGTAAGAGGTGAGTGAAATTGATACACAGTCAGCAGGTGTTGTCACAGGAAGTGGTGATGATCACAGTAAAGCCACCTTGCCTGTGTGGTCCTCAACTAGCCTTGCAGTCTGCCTAGGGCAGCAGCACAAGGTGGCCATCAGCATCCACAGAACCCTGGCTGTCTCTTCTGGGATGAGCGCAAATGTTTGTTTCTGGGATCCTCTTTTTCTGGATATTGGCCTGCCATTTTTCACTACTATGGATGTTTTTCAATATCTTAACCAAAGTTTTTTTTTTTAAAGTCTTACTTTGCAGCCCAGGCTGGCCTTGAACTTGTAATCCTCTTGACTCTGTATCCTAAGTATTGGGGTTACAAGTGTGCACCACAACCATGCCCAGCCTTGAGAGGATTAATTTTTACATTTTTCAGTTCTTTGCAAAAGGGCTTGTCTAAAACAACTCGCTCTACTATTTCTCAAAGTTAAACTGGGTCCAGAAGTAGTAGTCGTAGTCGTAGTAGTAGTAGTAGTCGTTGTTGTTGTTTTTAGAGACTTTATTGTTTAGTTACGTGGTATATGTGTGTATGTGCACTTGAGTGCAGTGCCCATAGAAGGCAGAAGAGGGTATCAGACACCCACGGACCTGTGGTTACAGGTGTTTGTGAGCTGCCCAAGCCACTGAGCCATCTCTCCAGGATGATAGGCACAGCTTTTGGTGCATCTACTGTTGTGCCGTGTGTGAGGCCCATGGTAGTGAACGAGAACTGTTGGGGGCATCTGTGTGTTCCTCTGCTGTCGTGTGTATTGTTTTCTCCCAGGAATTCTGCTTAGTCTGTGATGCTGTGTTTGTCTTCTGGCTTCACCAAGCATACATTAGACATGTCCACTGTCATCACATCTGGCCAGATAGTAAGTGCCAGACCTGACTGACACCATAGCGTGGTTTTGCTTACTTCAGTCCTAGCATGTGTTATCTGCCCTGTTGTAAGTCAATTGCCTCTGTGTCTCTCATCCCACACGTGCCTGTAATCCCTGCACTGATGGGATGGCAGGTAGAAGGATTTCTGGGTCTTGTTGGAGGCAGCCTAGTAGAAAAATCTCAAGCTCCAGGTTCAGCAAGAGACCCTCCCTCCCTCCAAGGAATAGTTGGAGAGTATTGAAGACCCTCTTCTGGCATCTGTGTGTGCACACAGGTACTCCCATCAAACATTTACACCTTACACACATGCCCACACACATACTTACTTACACCTCACACACATACATACAAATATACACCTCACTAACACATACATATATACTTCTCTAAAACACATACATGCATATATTCACAGACAGAGGTGGAAAAGAAGCAAAAAAGAACTTTAATGCAAAAATAACTACAAATACAAACTGCTTCATTATCACTATGTCCCTTTGTCCCAGTGAAAAGACCTAAGACTCTCAGGGACTGCTATTCATTCATTCATTCATTCATTCATTCATTCATTCATCATTCATTCTTATAGTGATCATTCCAGGTACTGTACTGGGTGTATTCTTGAAGGGGGGCTACAATATGAACAAACAAAAAACAGAAATAGAATCTACATTATTGAAAGGGTTTGTTTAATAGGACTGATGTTTTAAATACACATGTCTCAGTGAAGATAGGTAGCATTCTGCTAATATGTATAAACACACATAATATTAATTTCAAGGGAGGTTGGTTTCCTGAGATGGAAGCTTTGAACTCATAATCCCCCTACTTCAGCCTCCTAAGTTATGTGACCGAAGGCATGCCCCAGCACATCCAGCTTGTAAGCTAATAGTTTGAGATCAGGGCCTTCTGTTTATGTTAAGCAAGTGGACTACCATATGACTATTCCCCCAGCCTCTTGCTATTTTTATTTTTACCTGCATGTAAGACATAATCTACTCATTCAATCATTCACTTATTTATTTTGTGTTGACGGTGTATATGTGCCTGTGTGTGCATGTTTGTGTATGTAGGTACACGTGTGTCGGTGTGTTTGTGTGTAGGAGTACACATGGGGAACTAGAGAACCACCCTGGGCTCCGTTCTCACCCATTGTCTACCTTGATTTTTAAGACAGGCTCTCTCACTGACCCGGGTCTTGATGACTGGGCTATGTCTTTTTAATGTGGCTCACCTTTTCAGCCTTTTCTGAAGCTATTTGAACCAACCCTCACCCAGACACCAAAATGGACCCCTGACCCTGTGGCCCCAGCATCCGTCTGTGGAGGCGTTGGATTCCTTAGATAGATTGGGGAACAAAAAGCCTGGGCTTTAAAGCTGAAATCGGAGCTACCTGCCCATAAATCAGACCTAAGGTCTCAGCACTCCGGGGAAACCTACCTTTTCCTCTAGCTCCTTCAGCTGGCGCCTCTGCAGCTCCAGCTTGCCCTCCATCTCCCGGATTTTCTGAAACACATTGAGTCATGTGTCATAAAAAGACTCCCAGGCCCCAAATCTGACCTGTCTTTTATGGTGGTCCAACATAGAATCCCTGAAGGATGGACACAGAGGGCAGGCAATCCCCCAAAGGGCCCCCTCTTCTGACTTGTTCACAAGCAGGTGACCAATGTAGACACTGTAAGTTGGTCATGACCAGTGTAGACAGTACACTCATAAGATGAGGCCTGAGCTGGGGCACCTAGGCTCCCAGCAGGACAAGAAGATAAACTGGAGTAGCCTCAATCACTCATGAGTCCAACATCCAGGCAGCTGGGGCCTGGAGGCTGCAGAGAAGAAGGACAGAGTCAGGTAATGCTGGGGCAGCCATGCTGTGTGTCAGTTCACTCGCCTCACGGGGATGTTATGAGGTAGGTGGAGGCACTGACGAGTACGACACATGCTTCCTAACAAAGCTCTGTGTAGCTCATCTCCTCTGCATCTCCTCTCTCAGCTATCATCAAAGTTCTGGAACCTTCTTTTCTCTGCTCAGCATCCTGTGACCTTCACAGATGCTTAGGTCCTCCAAGAAGTAACCAGTCAGGCTCTTAAACTGATTCTCAAATTCTTGGCCATCCCAAACTCAACAACAAAGAGTTGCTGGGGCAGTGTGGTCCCTGTGTATCGGGCTGCCATATAGGGAGCATTGGAGGAAGGTAGGAGAAACACCTTTGTTTTGTGTATGTTTCAGCCAATGGAAAGAACAAGTTTGTCATCTACAACACCCAAGTGCCTGCGTCTTCCCAGCCACCAAAGAGGAAATGAAAACTCTGTGACAGGCTGTCATAAGAAAAGATGCTATGCCAGCAGAACTTCTCCTACCAGTCCCTATCCACCCAACACCTGGGGTGCCTGATGTCCATCAAGGGCCAGCAGGTCATCAGGAACCCAGGATATACTGAAGGTACAAGATGGGGAAATGAGACTGTAAGGGCCACTGCTAGTACCTGCTGGGCCTGCTGTAGCAGCTCCATTCGCTCCCGCAGGATCTGGCTGTCGAACTCCCGGCTTTGACGCAGGAGCTGTCTGCGCACCTTCTCTACAGCTGCCTGGAGGTCCTCACGCTGGCTGGCGCTCAGTGACTCACTGGCCCTCCGCCCTGGCTCCTGCTGCAGTGCATTGTACAAGGTGGCTTCCAGGTCCTGGATTTTCTGCATGGCCCAAACCACAGACAGTTGAGGTTACAGAAAGGCAGACAGTCGTCACTGTCAGGATGCTGCTAGAGGTCACGCTAGGGAGGGACTGTCAGCATGCAGGGTCCAGCAGAGCATGTGGAGGTCCCTCTGGCCAAAGCACATGTGAGTGTTCTGATCTGGACAGAGGCAAACATCCTTGGTCTGTGTAAGAGACAAGGGCAAGAAGAAAGAATCACATCTCCCCAAGACATGTCCATTCAACTGGAATTTATCTTACCTTTGGCTACTAACTTACTCTCACCCAGTATTCTATTTCTCAGCTATATAGTTTATTTATTGGCTATGTGGAGAATGCAGCTTTAACTGGGAGCAAATAGGGAGAATGTCCTACCCACCACCCCATCCCTGATCCTGCAGATAGTAAGGGGGCCTTTGTGGGCAATGCTGTGGACAGTGGAGCTGGCTACAGGAGTCCAATCATTCAGGGTTCAAGTTCTTAGCAAAGTTACATCAGACTCCCTGCTAAATGCTCAGCAGTACCTTACCACAGTACCCAGAGGCAAAGGAGAAAAGTGTCTCTCTCCTGCTGCCACAAAGCCCCTCACCCCAGGCTAAGAAACATTGCAACCACGTGATGGAAACTACTCTAATATGAGACAGAGCAACCCGGGGAAGGCTTTGCAAGTCCCACACCTGAAACATTGTTTTGACTTCCCAGACAGATCCTATCCTTTTTGTGCTACCATGGATTTAGCCACAGACATTACCACCTTCTCCCTAGGGTCACCTTGGCCATGGGAAAACAGAAGACAGAGAAGTGGGATTCCATGTGGCCTCTGCCTGGTTTCCAAGTGACACAGGAGCTTATGTGTAGGAAGGTCAATGCTCACCATCAAACATTCTGGCTCACCCTTCTCCATTCAGCAACCAAGCTTCTGGGAGACCCTCAGCTACCACTCCTCAGTCCACACTATGACAAAGGAAGACAAGCATGCATCCTGCACCTTCCTTTAACCAACCTGGATGCAAGAGGTGAGAAGTCCACAGACCAAGCTCTAAGTGAATCTAGTACCTCCCGAGGACGGTCTAGAATCTCCCAAGACGGATATCCCTCTAGGTGCATGTCGTGCACTTGAGAGTTGGTATGCTTTTCAGGGATAACTGTAACTTCTACAGAGACCAGGATCATTAAGGTAAGGACATTCTCTAAGAGCCAACATGCCCAAGGTCCTGAACCTGTTTGCACGCAGTCCTATGAATAGGAATCACCTTTTCCAAATAGCTGTTTTGTGAGAGGCCCCAGGAAACCACAGCACTTTGCAATGGCTGGTCTCCACCTCTCTCAGCACTTCAACTGTCCTTTACCAGTGTGGTGATAGTGGAGGGTGATACTGAACGTCTGATCCTCTGTGCTTGGAGTGCAGACAGGTGCCACCATGCCCAGGAATTGAACTGCCTTTAATGCATGCTAGGCAAGCACTCTACCGGCAAAGATACATCACCATCCTCTTCAGAATTTTAAGGATAAATAAAACATTTACGAAGCAAGGAGTATATACAAAAGCCTTTTCTCATTCAGCTCAAACAACTGCTAGTTTAGTATGGGTCAAAAAACAAAAACATCAAGATCATCAACGTTGTAAAAAACCACAGTTCATCTTCTATAACCAGGCAAGGCCTCAAGTGGAGGGATTGGTACACCAACCCAGACACAAAAACTTTGCCCTACAGTTTGTCCTGCTTGCAGAGTGTGGTGGGACAGGAACCTAGCAGAATTATCATCAAAGAAACTAGAGAGGCTTCATCCAGCAACTGATGGGCCCAGATGCAGAGTCCCACAGCCAAACATCAGGCAGAGCTCAGGGAGTCCTGAGGCGGATGGGAGGAAGGATTGAAGGAACCACAGGGGTTAGCAACACTCACGAGAACATGGTCCACAGAATCAACTGACTGGGACCCTTAGGGGCTCACAGAGATCTGGGAGCCTGAACAGGTCAGCACTAGGTCCTCTGCATATGGCTGAGTAGCTTAATGTTCTAGTAGGAATCCTAACAGTGGGAGCAGGGGATGTCTTCTGTTGCCTATTTGTAGGACACTTTTCCTCCATCTGGGTTGCCTTGTCCAGCCTTGATGTGATGGTAACATTGTAGCTTGTTATGCCATATTAGGTTGATGTTCCTGGGAGGTCTGTTATTTTCTGAGGGGAGGCAGAAAGTGTGTGGATCTTGGGGAGAAGGGAGGTAAGGGGGAGAGTCTGGGGCAGGGGAGGCAAATTGTGGTCTGAATGTATATATGAAAAAAATAATATAAATAAAAAAGTTTAAAAAAAAACCACAGCTCCTTTGGAACACCCAACCACTTGCTGGCCATTCTAGTCATGTGTGCACAAGGAACCTGGTGTGCTCCCTGCAGGAAGCAGCAGCCTCTAAGGCTGAGAGAAGAAAGCCAAAGTGTCAAACCCACTTCTGATCCTACCAGGTAGGCCTGGTCAAGGGCTTCTTTCCTGTAGTCCAGCTCCTGCTCCAGGTAGCCTTTCTGCCTGCTGAACTGGTCCTAGAAAAGATAGGCCACCATTAGGATTGACCAAACAAGTCAAAAGCAGGGATACTCTGAATCTACCCACTAGAGACTCAGTGCTGGAGGGAAAGGGAGGCCTTGATTGCTGACTGCCCTGTGTGAACTCCCAGAAGAGCCCTCACTGCCCTGGGCTGCCCAGGCTGTCCACAAGCACTCCGATCAGGACTATGACTACTCTGGATCCCCCCTTCTCTTGAGTATCTGGTAACAAGGAAGGGACCTCATATGCAGCCTGCTTCTAAGTCCATATCCCCAGAGTCCCCAGTCCCTGTTCTGTGGCCTGGAGCCTCTGAAGATTGTCTGAGTAGTTCCCAGGTGCAGCCCATCCCCTGCCCAGGCTGTGCCCCCCACCTCTTAAGAATCTCACTGTTAAACACTCCCTGAAGCTTTCTGGTTCCCTCTACACAGGCCTCATCTGAGCAGACTACATTGCCTATTCTATACCCATGAGGTCTTAGAACCAGAACTCATGTTGCAGTTCTGTATTTTATAGATGAGGAGAAAGAAGGCCAAAGAGGACCAGTGCCTTGTCCATGGTGCCACTGATGACAGGGGTAACTAGAAACCCAAGTTTCTAAGGCCTCGTCAGGGCTCTCCTGACACTGCACGCTGCTTTGACTCCACATGACAGCCCCCTTCTTCAATGAGTTCTCAGTTGAACTTAGAATACAAACTGATCTTGGATGGTTTCAGAGCCAGGTCTTCTGGAATAGCTTCTCTTGCCTCTCTGAGCTGAGGACAACTGTCCCCTCCACCCCTAAATAGGGCACCTCAAGGGCATAACAACCCTCATTAGCACAATTCAGCTGTGTTTGCATTAAAGCACCCAGTGCCCAACTAAAGAAGACCAACTCCAGGTTCACAAACTATTGTGCAAAAACTCCAGCTGTATGTGTGTCTGCAGAGCTCCTCAGGCAAAGGCCCATTTGTCACACTGCATCCCTAATGTCCTCAAGATGCACTCATATAACCCAAGGGTCCAAGATGGGGCACAGGGTCAGAAATAAGTGTTCAATTGAAAACTGGTTGATTGGGAATGGAAAAGAAAGGAGATGGCTCAAAGGAACCTTGGGGGCTGAAGGACTAAGATGATGCTCACCCCCACCCACCCACCCACCCAAAATCAAATCCCGCCTCTGCCCCAGGTGCTGAAATCTTTACCTTCTCCTTCTCCAGGTCCATCATCTTCTGTGTGAGGGCTGCCTCTGTCCCCTCTATCTGCTTCAGCCACTAGAAAACAGCAGGACAGGAGGACACAGGCAAATGAGCATGGCCACCAGGGGTTGGAAGGACTGAGCTTCTCGGCATGTATATGTATTTGCACAAGATGAGGAACGATGCACACTCACACAGCTACGAGTGTACATGACTATGGCTGTGTGTGCACCATCAGGCTTGTGTTTAAAGGGGTTCCTGGCAGCGTGTCTCTAGTTCATGAGTGGACAAGAGCCTGTGTGTCATCCATGTGACCCCTCTCGTGCCTATCCCAGAGGAAGGCAGCAGCTCTACCAGCTTACAGGTGAAGAGATAATGGCTGCATTAAGTCCTGTGTCCAAAGTCACACAGCTGTGGACTGGGAATCGAATACCCAGCCTGTAGGACTGGGAAGCCACTCCCATGATACTTCCAAGGTGTGCTACGAGAGCAAAATGCAGAAAGGAGATGGACACATGCATGTGGGGTGGGGATACAGGGCATGGAAGTGGGCAAGAGCCAGGAGGACCCTCAGACATGCCAGTGACCACATAAGCTGCACACCTCACGGCTACAGTACATCCCTTCTTATGTCTGGCCAGATGTTGGGAGTGTGTCCCTATCACTAGGTGAACTTAGGGGATGGGTGTGGGTGTCAAAGGTACCCAGGAGTATTCAGGCTTGACACTGATTTGACACTGAGTATGAATCATTGACTTTGACCTTTTAGCTGTGAAGTCCTATAGTCTGGCCTGGTGACCCCGGAGCCTCTTTCCAGACTATGAGGCTTTCCATAGTTTCCCTGGAGACATTGGTGTATTCCTCCTCTGGCTACATCTCTGAGGTTCCACTTAACACCATGAACTCTTGCTTCCCTCGAGCCTCTGCCCTTCACTCTGTCTCAGCCCTTAAGCATCTCGTCCAGTCCAGACATTCTTTGCTGTGTTTTATGCCCTCTTCCTGTTTTTCAGACCTATCACACTTTATCCCCATGGTCACCACCCATATCAGAGCCCAACCCAGCACCTAGTTCATGCTTGACCCTATCAGGACCCCCAAACCTGCCCTGGCTGCACATCCTTAAGGAGATTTTCTGACCCTGTCCAGATCTCACCACACATCCTCTACTTCTAACAACAGGGACAAGCACAGCACTGTCCCCCTGAGGATCACTGTGGTCACTCAATTGGGCTCTTCTGTCACCACAAAACCCGAGCCTGGCCAGACGTGGTGGCACACACTTTTAGTCCCAGCACTCAGAAGGCCAGCACAGACAGATCTCTGTGAGTTCTAGGCCAGCCAGGGCTGCACAGTGAGGAATCAGCTGATTCCATGCCCCTTCTCGCCACCATCCCTCCTCAAAAAAAAAAAAGAAAAGAAAAGAAAAGAAAGCCACCTGCATCTTAGTTGTCTGAAGATGCACTTGACTCCTCAGACAGAATGAGCCATCTTTCACCTCAGGGCCTTTGTACACGCTCCTCAGACATCAGTAGCTCTAACCTCAGCATCAGCTCCAGGCCTTTGCTAAGCTAACATCTACCCAGATAACCAATCTCTCGCTAGCTGTACCTTCTCCCCTAAGAAGCCCATACAGCTTCCTGAGGCCATAGGTCCATCTTTTCCTGGTGCTCACATGAGGACACTATTACTCATTTAGACTTCCTCCAGCCACTCATGGAGGGAGCACATCTGTTGCTGCTTTTCTTTCAGGGCAGAGTGAGTGACAAAGAACTCGCTGAGGAGTGGAGGAGGCCTGGCGTGGATATAGGTGGATTCCACAGGGGTTGGAAAGGTATGAAAGGCATGATCAGAGATTCCTCCCACAACATCAAGCTCAGCTTGGCTCTGAGCAGCCCCAGGGAGAAGCAGCAGACATGTGCAGAGCTAACCCCTCCTCACACAGCTTGTGTAATAGCTCCTTGTGAAAAGGATGAATGTTTCTGATCGGGAGTTTAGAATACTGTGCTTTGTCATAGTCCTTTAAGATTTTGTTTATTTTTATGCTCATTGGTGTTTTGCCTACAAGCATGTATGAAAGTATCAGTCAGATCTTGGAGTTATAAAAAACTGTAAGATACCATGTGAGTGCTGGGATTTGAACCTGAGTCCTCTGAAAGAACCGTCAGTGCTCTTAACTGTTAAACCATCTCTCCAGCCCTGAGCACTGTGCTTTTCATACTTTGATGTTAATTTGAAATGAATTTTCAAAGGGGAGAAGTCTTCAAAACCACACATACCTTTTTCAGGACCATGGACTGTTACGGGACAGGAAAAGAAAGCTGAGTCCTGGGTTGCAGGGCTGGGGTTCTGTTCACTGACCTCCTACTTTCTTGGGGAGACTGCTCTTATCCCCAGGAGGGAAGAGGTCTGGCTGGACAGGACGTGGGGGAGCCTGGCCACTGGGGATGCTCCAGAAACTGGGTAGTGTCTTCTAGACAGATGCAACTCAAACAAGAGTCAACTCTCTGAAATCCATGCCAAGGATCCTCAGGTGAAGGGCCTGGAATCCCTCTGTAACTGGATACTTTCTCCTCCCTACACTAACTCAGGGCAGCACAGAAAGCTTCAAGTCGGCTGAAGGCCTAACCAGGTCTCATCCTTTGACCCCTCCCTCCATTTACAAACAGAACAGAACATAGTAGAGGTTTTGGGTTTGTTTTGTTTTTTTGAAGTATTTTTCATCTTCCTGAGCTCAGTGCCTACTTCTCAAAGGGTTTTGAATTCAAGAGAGAAGAGACATGTCTGACTGGGAACCATAGATGAGCCACACAGCCCCTTGATATCTTAAATTTGAGCCTCTCTGAAGGCTCAAACTTGGGCTAAGGTTAAGCTTGGTGTAGCTGCTGGCCTTGTGTTCAGTTAACCAGAGGGAATCTGATGGGTCTTGTCTGCAGCCCAGAGCCTGAGAAAACTTCTGAAAGGACAGGAGAAAGGCACACACACAGGGACAAGAAGCAGGGGGCTGACTGATGTGAGACCACCTGACCAGACTAGGATGCACTCTGTCTAAGTAACAAGAAACGGCCTTAGTGCTGCTAAGAGAGAGCTGGGCTGTGGCTCATCAGTGCACCAAGTGATGGTTTTTGTTTTTAAGTGAGGTATGTTGTGTGGAGAGAGATTCCTAGGGCTCCTAACCAAGCTCTCTGACATCCACACTGCTGGCACTGTGTGCAACCATGCTCTCTACCGTCACTTGTCTCTTTTTGTACTCAACTGTTCCTGCCTTAGCACTAAGATGCCCACATCTCAGGGAACCTCCAACTCCAAGCTAGAAAAGACTATACTGTTAGCGGGCTGTCCGGCCAGCATTCTCAGGTGCCCCGTGACCCAGCTCCCAGCCTGCTCCAACCCCTATTCGTGAACATTTTCTCCAAGCAAGGAGAGGATAAACAGCAGCATCCACACCGGCTTCACTTTAGTTCACAGACAAATGGCTGAAGGAGTGTCTGGCAGAGCCAAGTCTGAGGAGAACCTAGGTGAAGGCCAGAGTTCTGACCATAGGTATCAGCCATGGACCCCCTGCTTTCTCTTTCTCTCATGGAGCACTGAGGGGCTGGCAGCCAAACAGCCAGGATCTCTCTCTAGTATTTAAAACACAGAGTGAAATGCCAGGCAGACTGGGGCAGTGGGGTGATAGTGCCCAAAAGCATATGGGTGTCAGCTAGCAGGAAGCTGGCAAAGGTGAGCAGAGTACAGGTCTGGGGTGGGCAAGGGGTGGCAAAGCAGAGACTAGCTGATGCCAGACAAGCCTCCTTTCTTCCTCTGTAAGAGAATGCAAGAAGTTGAGGGGCCTGGGGTTCTATAGTACTGGACTTGGCAGAGCTGCTGGGACAGATGTGGTCCTGTGCTGTCTGAAACCTGTTCTCAATGAGGCCCCCATCTTCCACCATGGCAGCCCTGCCCTAAGGGACACTCCAGGGGCTAGAAAATTAGCACTTACCAATGTCCACTATCCTAGCCCACTGTGACCCAGACACCCCAAGTCATACTTCTTCTACTCTGTCCATCAGATCCCGAGACCCCTGAACAGCAAGTGGTGGACCCAAGACTCAAACTAGGAGAAGTCAAGGAAACAAGGGAGCTTGCAAATGTGGCCTCATTCTCCAGAGACTCACTGGGAACTGAATACTGACAGGCTCCGTGAATGTACACTACACTGAGAGTCAGCACGTAGGTGATCCTATATGGCCCGTGTTCGAGGGGCTGGAACACCACATTTGATTTGGCTGCTAACAACAGTTATATACTGAATCTGCCTTGCAGTGTGGTAGACACGTGCTTCTTCACGTGACCTCCAGCCAGCTAAGTGTGAGTCACTGACCCAAACATCCGCTGGAGAAAACAAACTTGGCCAGATAAGGGGCAGAAGCAGAAAGCTCGGAGTCCTGCCCAACTACCACCCTTCCCAACCATGTGTCCTGGGTCAAAGCACTATCACGGTGTCTCATCTCAGTGTTTTTTGTCCTTTACTCGGCTGAGGATTGGGGGATGGACAGGTGCATAGGGGAGAAAACTATATTTTAAGAGTCCTACTGACGATTGTGAAAGGAATTCAATCTAAGTCATCCAAAGGTTGCATTTTAGAGTCTGACTTGTGTGAAAGTAAAAGATCTCCAGGAAAGACTCTGCTAAAAGCTGTGTGCATCTCGACATTCTAGTTCACTGTAGGAGGCATGAAAGCCAGGATGTATTCTTCAAAGACAAAAAGTCAAATTTTAACATCTTTAATACACAAAGCACACACAGAAAGAACAGTTACAACAAATGTTTATGAGATGGATGGATGAATGGATGGATGGATGGATGGATGGATGGATGGATGGATGGATGGATGGGCAGGCAAATGAATGAATAGAAAACCTTCCAAAGAAATGTAATTACACTTCACAAGGAAGAAGTAACTGCTGAGGCACACTGGGAATCTCACCATGCTGAGTACCCACTCAAACACAGTATAACTATGATCTCACAGGGTGTACTGTCTACAACTACCCATGTTTTAATTCCTGGTAAAAGCCACTTTGTATGTGGAAACAGACCATGTGCCAAAAGCTTCAGGTTATGGCTCCAAGCCCTACCAAAACCCTGACAAGTGGTTTTACTATCTGGCTCAGATTCCTGTCCCAGAACGTATGGGTGGGCTCCCAGTGCATACAAACACATATTATGAAGTTGTCCCCCAGGGAACACTGGTAAATAGGAAAGGATGAGCCCTCCTGGATGCTGACTCACTGGAAGGTGATGAGGTTCTCTGTGGGTACCTGGGATGGAATGGCATTGATGCCGTTTGAATACATACTTCTGAGCCACTTCAAATAGCTTAGCAAGCAGAAGAGAAACACAGCATGTTAACTACTCCAAAAGAGGATGGACCTGGGAGCCACTCGGTGGAAATAAAGCAAACGTCACAGCGTGTTTCCTGCCAGAGGGCGGTGTGCACTTCCACCTGAGCTTCAAGGCCTTCTGCAGTGAGCGCGTGTGGTGCTCCATCTTGAACACGCAAAGGCATGCATGTGTACATGCAGACACAGACTGACACACACACGCATGCTCCCAAATAAAGCGGCACACCAATGTACAGCTTCTGCTGTGGTGCTGGGTGCTGGGACAGGATGTGAGCACAAGGACACTGCCGGCTCTACCTTTTCACACAGGGCAAGCACAGTTCCCGCTTGGATTACTGCAACCTGCTCTTCATTCCTCAAATTCTACAACACAAAAAGGGGCAAGGGGGTTGACACTGGGATCCAAGTCTACGGCAGACAGTCAGTGCCAAGCCCTTCTGGGGTGCATGCTGATGATCAGCCCCCAATCAAAAACCAGCCAGGGCCAGCCATCTGAGGTACATGGCTCCAGTCCCTCTAGGTGGAGACAGGTCACAGAGTGGCCCCAACACTTGGGGAAATAGTGCCTCACTAAAGACCATATTTTTGGAAGGCAAAGAAATCACCTTTTGACTTCAGCAATCTTGAGTATGGGACCTTCCATCTGTACGTCCTTAATCTTTAGGTTTGTGAGTCCCCTGTTCACTCACAGATTGTAAGGTTGTCCTCAGCTCAGAACCCCACTCTGACAAATACAGACCCGACCACCCACAGGGGGACACGGCCATCCAAAAGCCTTCCGTTGTACTTCTCAGATCTCTTAAATCGGAGAAAAATTAAAAACAAAACAAAGTCACACAGAACACCCCCAATCAAAACAAGGACACAAAACCAGGAACCGATCGCTCATAGTTACCCCGTTATCGCCAAGGATATCTAAGTTCTTCATAAGTTCAGAGATATTCACACCCTGGAAAAGATTTCCAACGTTCATTCTCATGTGAGCTGCATGGACGATCCACACCTACTCTAGAGCCATGGCTCCCACGCCTCCTTCTGCTCTGAAGCCACAGTGGGGCCCAGCCTCTGGCTCTGCACAGGCAGATGGGGAAGGGGTGGCTGTGGTTCATATACTGAGATTCACTCCAGTACAGCCCTGCTTTCTAAGCTCATAGGCATCTGAGGACTCTGCCTGTGGGATCTGGTGGGCACCAGGCCTGTGGCCAACCATAGTCACCATCAGCAAAGCCCTGGTTATGGGCTGGGCACTGTGCAAAAAAGAGACAACCTGTTAAGAGGTTGGGTTTAGAGACTTCCTGTAGGTAGGCAGAAGGGTAACACTTGACAATGCTTTCACCTAGCTCTCTGTCTTTCAACACACCAGTACAGGCTCTGTCCCTGACCTGATGACACGATCCCCCTTTACCACCACTCCAGGTACTCAGCCCGCCCCTGAATGGCAGGTCCATGGGACATATCCCACCCCCCGCCCCCAAGCATGCTACCTTTACTCCTTCCTGATGACAGAAAAGCTGGAGAGCGCTGCTGTTGTTCTCGGGGAAGGTGGTGATTTGGAGGTTAAAGGCTGGCGACCTCCGCTCTCTCTCCTGGGGAAAAGACGCGGTTTAAAGACAGAACTCCACTGTGCTATTCACCACTTGCTATCTTCCCAAGTTATGAGCAAAGGAGGAGCTACACGGCACACCTCTGGACCACAAGGTCCTAGTATAGGACACGTGGTGTCTTCCTGCCTTTTCAGGGCCAGAGGCCCCTTTGGATAATTTGCATCTCCCCTACTGCTAGGGAGAAACGGACGATTTGGGCCTCACAGGTCTGCCTGTTGCAATCCAAACCGCAGAAGTCACAGAAGAGAAGGTTTAATCAAAACAATGTATCAGATTCAATAGAGAACAGAAGCCAGCCACCATGGGGGGATATCTAGGCTGAGTACTTGGGTTATCCCATGTGATGTCCAAGCTACCTCACAAAGCGCTTACCCATGGAGGCTTGGGATGGCAGAGTCTGAAGTTCTCTGCTAGTGAGTGGCAGAACTGGGCCCGCTTCTGACTCCCCTTGCTTTCCATGACAATGGGTGACTCAGCTTGGAGTTTTTAAATTTGATTTTGTTTCTTTGGTCCACACTAACAAGACCCGTGACCACTCTCTGCACTACCCTCACCTCAGATTTATGATCAGATGTCCCAAGAGAGACATTCATCAGCCATATACCACATGAGCACTTTATGCTCCTGAAGGAGCCTCATTGCTTAGAGGAATTACAGCATGCTGACAGAACAGCACCCTGGTCTCCTGTGCATTTTCTACATGGAGCTGGCTTTAAGTCCACGGCATTAAGTGAGTTATGACAGGTTGGCACCCTCTCAAATTCTACATCAGCTCAAGCTGCTCTGGGGAAAGGATGTGCTGAAATTACAGTAACAATAACTTGTAGACCTCGGACACCTCTATAATCATACCAAGAGAAGTGATGGGAATTAGTGTGAACCCGGAAAGCATGCCTTAACACACTGAGTGAGGCTTGAAGGGAGGGCTGGGGGCTGTTCACAATGAGTTTCCAGGAAGCCTCCGGCTGGCTCACCTCACTTTGCATTGCTCTAAGAGCCAAAATGGATACAGCCATTTACTTCCCCCGCACACCTGCCACCAGAAGTACTCAATCCGTTGGCTTTTCACAGAAAAGGAGGGGTGGGAGCAGCCCGTGTTCTGTATGAACAAAGTCATAAACCTGCTTCCCAGTGGCTCCGAAGGCCATTGGAAAGCTCTGGCAGAGCATGTGGTCTCTGGAATTCTCAGTGGGAAGGGTCACAGCGAAGGACTTGTGAAAGGCATTCTCACAGCAGTGGGGTACTAAGCATGACCTCACGACTTTTAACTTCTGATGAATGAATAAAGGCTAGAGCTGAGGCACAGTGACAATGGAAGCTGAAAGCCACCTGGCCCGTCCTTGCCAGGAGGACAAGGCTTGGGCCATAGAAGAAGGGAAAATGAAACCAGAGAAGCCACAGATGAGAGAAGGTGCCCACTTGGATGGAGAGGAGTCACACATGCAAAGGTGTCGGCGGGAGAAGCAGCACAGTGTCACAAGAGCCTCGTGGAGGCTTGTCACAAATGCAGAGATGTGTAGGGTGCTGATGATGTTTAAACAGAAGCAGAATGGGAGGATGAAGGGCCGTGAGAGCCGAGCAATACCGTAACACACCTGACGCAGGGGTTTGACCCTCCGCGTTCCCTCCGAGTCCTACTCACTGCCCTGTGGAGTTCCCAGGCAGACAAGGTTTCTACACGTGCAGTGTCTGGGAGTTTTCAGTTGGAGTTTGAATCACATACAATTTAAGTTCAAATGCCTGCAGTGCCTAGGTTTGTATTTACTGGCCAGAAGGGTTTGAATGAAGTAGCTGGTTAACACCTGTGTAAATACGTCCTCCTGCCTGCCTCCACTTACCTTGCATTTGCTCTGGCAGACAGAAAATGGGCCCACACTGCTGTTAAACACAGCAGGAATCAGGGGCCGGCTGGGGCAGACCCTGCTATCTCAGAAGAGGCCTGCTGCATGCAAGATCAAAGGTGTGTTATCCATTGCAACAGTGCTGCTGTCTGGGGCTGCGGAAGGCACACCCAGTGGCTGCATGCAGGATAGTAGTTGTGGAAATGAAACACAAATAAAAAAGGCAAAATATTGCAAAAACAACTTATTTTATTAAGTGCAAAACAAGCGGTAGGCAATAGATAGATCGCTCTGGTACAGGTCCACAGACGTCGCCAGCATCCTCCCCAGGACACGTTAAGGCAGTGAAGTTATCCCGGACATACACATTTTTTTTTAAAAAAAAAAAAAAGAGGAAGAAGAAAAGAACGGAGGAAGGAAGGAGAGAAACGGTAACACGTCCCTTCACACATGCTTGTAAATGGCAGGGAGCTTTACACGAATTTCAGTTTGGGCTCAAAGAGAATGTCTGCTCCGTTTGAGAGCTTACAACAGATAGAGTCTCTTACTTCGAGTTCTAGCACTCTGAATTCTAACAGCTCGTTCTGGTCCTTGGCGTCTTGCATTTCACTCTTTAGCTGGTTCTCCTCCATCTCCAGCCTGTAAATCTGGGGCAAAGACACCTTTACATTAATGGTCTCCGTGGTTGCTTCCACACCCCGGGAATCCCACGACTACAGTCCAACATCAGTGGGTTGTCTGAGAGAAACAGGGCACCAAGAGAAGGGGCAGAACTGGCCACCAGCCTATCGGCTGGTGAGCCTAGAGTGAGGGAGAGTTGCTGGGCTGGGTACACCTCCGTAGCACCAAGCCTAGACCAAGAGACTAGAAACTCCTTATATTTTTGCTGAACAAATGAGTGGTAGGTGAGACTTGGTGCTACTGAGTCCCTCCCTGAGGTCAGTGTAAGGAAAGCAAGAGTGTAGAGTGGGTGGTTCAGCTCCCAGAGCCCTCCAGGCCCTTTCAAGACGGACCCCAGGATAAGCTGTGGACCCTGCTATGGCAGGTACTGTGGGAGGGGTCAGGTCTCCAACACCACAAAAGGCTCTTAAGAGAACACTAATTGCCCTGAGAGCACGAAGCAGCCTGGGAAAAGCTTAGGGATGCAGGTCAGAACTTCTCTGACCCTCAGCTTCTACCCAAAGTGGAAAACCATAGTGCCTGCAACCTAGCAGCAGAGAGAGGCCACCAAGATTATTTGTATAGGTGAGAGCTTCAGGAGGTAGCTATTCTCTCTCCTCCTGTCAGAAGACCAAAGAAGTGCTATCTTGCAGGTAATCTCAACCTCAGGAGACAATGGGAAACACCGTGTTTCTTGTGTGGCCTGTGGGACTGAGGCAAGAGCCACTAAAGTCTTCCTGACACACAGGGCCCACCAGGCAGCCAAGAGCAGCCACCCCTCAGGGCCTGAAGGAAGATAAGGTCAGGGCAGGCACAGCAGAGATGAGCCAGATCCAGGCCACCTAGATCTGGGAGATTGGCCTTGCCAGTTCAGACCGGAGCTTTCAGGATGCTGATGACCCAGGGCCCACCCTAGATTCTTTTCTGCTTGAAGTGTGCATAGGGCGTGAGTCTACTGATCACACAGCTCAAATATACTGGGACTCAGGAGACAAGGAGCAGGAAAGACTGCAGATAGGCATGGAGGAGGGAGGCTCAAACAGCTCTAAACGGGTACTGGGATCATGGTGGCAGGGCTTGACATCTACTTTAACAATAACTGAATGGACCCATCCAAGCAAAGAAATCTCAATGCCAAGGCATATTCAGACCAAGTCCCTTCAAGCTTCAGGAAGGCCTGTGGTGGGAGGGCAAGGCATACAAGGCTCTAATACAGGAACTGACCCAGCTGAGGGGGCTGGAGGGCCTGCCTTGGACTTTGTCTGCCTCGGGTGTCCCCATGAGAAACAGGAAGGTGCCCAAGTCAACAGCAAAGATAGATGGCACCCTTTCCTGTTTTTTAGAGGCACCCTAAAGGTGCTAAGACCTAAAGGTTCTGTCCCTGAGGACAGAGCCTCAGTCCAGTGGGATAGACCCCCTTTCTATGATAACTACTGAGCCAGGAGGCCCTGGCCTTTGAGGGCTTGGGGCAGGTTGGTGGCCTCTATGGTTCAGTTCATGACCAGGCCTAAGGCTCTGGCCTGAGCATACCTTCTCCAGCAGGTCCTGGTTTGTCCTCATGAGTACCTGCTTCTCCTCTACCCACGCAGCGTCCTGCAGGAAATACAGGGTATTTATTCACTAGTTCCAGTGTTGACTGAGCCACCAACTCCCAGATATGGACAGTGGCTGTGTAGCTTCATCGCCCTTTAAACCTTCACAGCCAGGTAAGAACAACAGGGTTCTTCTAATTGCCCTGAGAGCACAGAGCAGCAGGAGGGGTGACCAGGCCACTAGTGTTAAGTGACTCATTTAAGGCCTCCTAGCCCCCACTGGTGAGATGTCCTTTTTCCCTAGCTCTCTCCCTGTATGTTCAAGGTCCCCAGGGTCATTACAGGACACTGCTCCATGGTGACTGAGTGAATGCCCTAAAGGGCTTTACACCTCCCCACTGGTGCTTTGCTCAACTCCCCTCACACGCACTCTGTTAGCACAGCCTCTGTGCTGACACTGTGACACCCTTAGTGCCAAGCCAGAGCATGAACACTGGCTCTTCCTCGTCAGCATCAGTCTGGAGGAGGAAGATACAGGAGGCAAGGGAGCCTTCTCCACCACCTCTTCCTCCTGACCCTGCCCACCCTAGATTCAGAAAGGTCTACCCCCTCCACCTGCCCCCCATCCCACTTCACAGGAGCCAGGCCAGTCTCACCCAGTGCTGGAATTCCGCAATGCTTGCTAGCCAAGGTGGACCTAGGATCTGACCAACAGATGTGGGACACCCAGAAGACATTGGAAGGTTACCTCCTGGGGGCTTTCTACCTAATACCTCCGTGTCTCTGCTGTACACATTTGCATGTGTGCTCTTTGCATGTATGCCCATGTGGCTGTGAGTCCCTGAGAAGACAGTGATGTGTCCATCCAGCTTCCTGTCTGGTAGACAGGTCACAAGGGTGGCTGCCACCTTTGCTCCATGTCTTCGCAGCTCAGCTCATCCTCCAAAGTCTGTTACTCCAACCTTGAAGCTGGGCTTGGCTGCAGTATGTTTTGCCTACTCGAGTACTGATAAGTGTGATGTGAACAGAGGCCTGGTCAGTATCTGTGGTGTGTGAAGGGAAGGGGCTCCTCATCCCAGACAACCAGACAAAAAAGCCAGAATACCTATTTGAGGAGGGGTGACCAGACCACAAGTGGCAAGTGAGCTCATTTAAGGCCTCCTAGCTCACTTGTCCTGCCTGACTACTGAAGTTTCAGGGCAACCCCAGGCAAGACCAACAGAACAACCATTTGCAGAGTCCAGCCTGGCACCAATCCACAGATCTCAGAGCAAATCAAACCCTACTATTTAAGCAACTACGTTTGGAGGCAGTTTGTTACACCACACACACACAGAGAGAGAGAGAGAAAGAGAGAGAGAGAGAGAGAGAGAGAGAGAGAGAGAGAGAGAGAGAGAGAGAACAGACCTCTCCATATCCCCTTAGTTCCTGACTTAGGGCAGGGCAGGAGCAAGGACCTATAGACACCCATGCCTGTGCCTCAGCCCTTCTTAGGCCAATGGGGCCAGGTGACTAGTTTGTGTCAGTAAGCTATGCTGAGGCAGTTAGGGTCACCTCAACCTGCTGGCTGCTGACAGGAAATGAGTTCTAAGATGGCACCTCTGGTACTGAGTCCCTAGGGAACCATGTAGATGATCCTCTGCTTACAACAGGCACCAAGAAAGGCCTAAGGGCTGCATCCCTCTGCCTGCTGCCCACTGGGCCTGGACTAATCAAATCAGAGACAGGAGTCCAGGAAAATAACCAACCCAGACTCCCCTATGACATAGTCACTGCCTCGTCTGTTGCTATGAGCCCTGCCAAATGGTTCACAGCACTTCAATTATACACAGGCAATTAAAATCCTGACAGAAAACAGCAGCTTTTCTTCAGGCCCCAGATCCAGTCAAAAGACCTTCTGGCCATGCCTCTGCTCTAAGAGTTACCTTCTGCTTCCCCGAATTTGGCAAACAAGGAAAAACTAGGCAAACCTTCAGGACAGGCTCTGACTGTGACAACACATTCTGGCCTGGGGTCACAATGATTCCTCCACAGACCCTCCCCCTTACCTTTGGCACACCAAATACACCACCGGACCCCAAGGACACCATGGGGACAGAACCATGAGGACCACAGGGTGCATGGCCTTCCTGCTTACCTGTCCCTTCTCAACCAGCAGCTTCTCTAAGTCCTCGATTTTGGCCTGGCACCTCAGCAGGTCAGCTTGAAGCTGCTCCCGAGTCTGGAAGAAAAAAAGACCAGGGAGTGAGCAAGTCTCTGAAGTCACTTGCAGAGGTGACACAGCGGTAACGTGTCAGGCTGCCAACCAGAGAGTGCCTGCACAGCCCGAGAGCTTAGGGGTAGAAGGGCCCTGTTGCAGTCATCACCACTTGAGGGCTCTGAAGTCCATCTGCAGCCGTGTGATGAAGTGAGAACTAAGGGGTCATGGGGGTGCGGGTGGGGTAACTGCTGTAACTCTCCCAGTAAAAGACAATCAAAGAGCCACCCTCTCCTGGGATGAACTAGCCCAAACTGGGTGCCTCAGGGCCCCAAAGCCAGCTCTGACAAGGTCAGTGCTTTCTCCTTCAGCATCATCCAGCTGTTGACAGCTGTTCTACTTGCTTGGTGGTCTAATGGGGCTCTCTGTCACCTACAGCAAAGACTAAAACCTAATCCCTCATAAACCAGGCAAATCATGTACATCAGGGAAGCCACTGATCAGCTGACCCTACAACAAGAAGAAGCACCAGTGTAGGCACATACCCTAGTCCTGGGAGGCACAGCTACTTGGCTACAGCCACACACTGACACAGGAAATGGAAAGACACAAATGTGACCTGCTTTCCAAAAGTCAGAATCCAAGCTAGTTGTGTTGTCTGAGGCTTGAAATCTTGGCCCTCGGGAGTTCAAGGTCATCTGGAAAGTAGGGAAATCTTCCCCTTTTCCTTTTCTTTTTAAGTTATGAAACAAAGGCCTGTGCTATAGCCCAGGCTAGCCTAGAACTCACTTCACTCTGTTGCCCCAGCTGGCCTCAAAGTCATGGCAATCCTCCTTCTATATCCACCTAGTTCGGGGATTATAGGTATATGTCACCATGCCCCATCATGCACTTCACTGAGAATTATCTATTAACTGGGCAAGTTAAAAGACAAGAAGAAACTAAGCACAGACAAAGCCTAGATTTTTACCTTCTGTGGCTCAGAAAACAAAGACTGGTCTTTCATTGTGGCAGAAATGGCTACATCCCCCGGACATCTTGTTCCCTGTGTGTCTGCCCCCTCAACCCCTGAGGCTGCTACCACCCTGAGCCCTGTGTGCCAAGTTCATTCTGGAGATGGTTGCTCCTGCCTGTGGCTTCCATATTCCTGAGACCTACAAACCATGGTGTTATGTATGTTTTAGGATGCCCAAGCCCTTCTGCATGGGGCTCCCAGGACTGTTTCCAGAGCATTCTGAGCAGGGTGCCATGGTCCCACCTCTCAGTTATATGGAGGACCGTCTTTAGGCAAGCTGCTACTTTCCTGAACCTCTGTTCCTTCTTCAGGACATGGGATAGATCCTGGCTCATAAGACTACTGGAATGGACATGGGACATGGGACGGCACTAGATCAGTAGGCTCTCTGGTGTCTCTGGCACTCCCAGAGGGACATGAAAATACTATAGACTTCAAGGTGGGAGAAGGGTCAGTGGGAGGAAGTTTCCAAAAAAGTTCATCCCAGCACCATGATGTACCCCCTGTACCTGTAGTGCCTGTGCCTTGGGTGCTCCAGGAACCCCTGAAAGTGTTTTTTGAGGACACTGGGGGTGAGGGGCTTTTCAGGGAAATTGATAGGTCTGAAGCCTGAAAGGTTAGCTGTGTCTATAACTTCATCACTCCTTTAAATTCCATTCTAATTTAGTGTGTGTGTGTGTGTGTGTGTGTGTGTGTGTGTTTGCATACATAGAGGTCATAGGACAACTTGCAAGAATCAGTTCTTTTTCTACCACGTGGGCTCGGCAGGCGGAATAAGATCATCAGGTTTGGCAGCAAGTTCATGAGCTGTTTGGTCGTCCATCTGCCCCTCCCCTTCAACTCTGTACGCCTTCTCTCTTGCAAACAGATGGCAGACGACAAGTGGTGGGTGTAGTTCCACCTTCATCAGTTTCAAGATTCCAGGTCCCCTCCTGGTCCCCAGTCTCTGTCTCTCCCAACATCAAGGAGACATACTTACCCGGGCCTCCCTCTCAGCATCCAGTGTCCCCCCAACCTGCTCCTGAAGCAGGGCATAAGCCCTCTGCAGAGCCTGGTACTCCCTGGTCAGCTGGCAGAACCTCAGGTCAGCCTCTTCTCTGGTTGTGGTCTTAACCAAACAACAACAAAACAAACAAACAAACAAGTCAATTCATGACTTGCTGTGACTTCAAGGGACAGAGTCAAAACATGAGCAAATGCCCACATCTTCTCAGCGTGTCTAAAAATGCCTAGTGAGCTTGTCATGCCAGAAAGTAATGGGAAGGACCGGGAGTGTAGGCTGCTGGGAGAAAAATGCCTTCCCCACTTCAGCACCTCACCCCCAGCACTCACAGGCTTCATGAGAACCAGCCTGACTTCACAGGTCAAGGTTCACCCTGAGAAGGGTGTCCCTCTGGCCACATGTCTGGGGTTTCTGCACTGGTATGCGACTGGAGTGCACCTGTGTGTGAAGCCCCCATGTGGTCATGAGAGGACAGTGCAGGGTGACTAATGAGCAAGTTACTGTTGCAAGTATCATGACAAGTTTGTAAAAACCAGAGATAATATTGGACCAAATTTTAGCTGGAGGCTCACACAGGATGTGTCACCCTTGGCATTTCCCACACGGGTAGGCCCCTCCATAAGCACCTGAATTTAAGGCCAGTGGGCTGACTTGGAGGAAGGGTCCATTTTCCTGAGGGTTCTGTTGTCATTCAAGAAGGCACTCCATAGTAAAGTTTGAATGAACCCCAACCATGGGACTGTGAGAGGTGACTGCTCAAAGAGCCAGGGCAAGGAGAGACAGGATGGGCAGTTCCTAGAGGCATCCAGGAAGCTACAGGGAGCTTACCAACACGGCATATGTGACCCTAGAAAGCTCCACCAGCACCTGCCACAACCAGGGCCAGTGCACCCCTTCTTATTCAGGCTCAGAAGACAGCCACAGAGGGGTGCATGGAGGACAAGACAGGAAGCCCGGTGTGGGCTGCAGCATCAGGGGAAAGTCTATACTAAAGAATGCCTGGAATTTAGGAAAGTCACCAACTGTGACCACTTCTGTCACCTATGTGTGGGGGATAAAAAAACAAGACATGTAATTTTATCTGCAACAGTAAGCACTAGGGTCAGCATCTGGGTGTTTCCCTACCAGCCTTAAGTCTTACAGGAGATCAGTTCTGAGGACAGTGTTCACTGAGTCCCCGTTAGGCAGCAAGGACCAGCTATCCTCTCTCTGAGACTCTAAGCCATGGCAGGATTGACCACCAGAGAGGGAGCAGCCCTGGCCAACACAAAGGTGTGAAGTCCCTAGCATACTGCAGTTTGCTTACCTCATCTAAGTCCTCTTCAGGCGTGGCTGGGGTCCGGTCTGTCCTGTCTGTGTTGTAGGATGTCTCTGACAATGTTTCAGAGTCCACGGACTCTTCATCAAATCCAAAAAATGTCTCCACAACATGCTTCTGTGAGAGGCAATGGGCATTACGTCAGGAAGATAGCAGCTGCCTATCCATGGCCAGCCCAGGGCACAGGGGGCCGAGGGAGGACAGATGGAGCTATGGCCCCAATTATAGCTGGCTGAGGACAGAGCAAGCCACTAAGGCAGCTGAAGATGTGGCTAGCTTAACAATGTTGATTAGGAGGGAGGAGGGGTCATAGGTAGAGAGGACTATGCAACTCCTAAGTTGAACTTAAATGCAGGGTCATTTGAGCCCTAGGTGTCTTCTGGACATGGATGAACTGCCACCCTTCCGGCATAAGAGGGGACCTCTCTCACTCTGTGCGAAGCCAAGTCCCAGCACCCAGAGCATTCTACAGGCTGAGTGAGATGTCTGCCCCAAAGGAGCCAGGAAGAGATGCGATTAGGAGACCCAGCATCCTGCCCCTGGGCTAGGCTGGAGAAGTAGCTGCATGGCCCATGTCTTCCCCAGCAGTTCTGCCTAAGTGGCAATCTTTCTTAGCTTTGGATGACAGTGCATTCAGAGCACTGATATAATTAGAAAGAATAACATTAAGGGTCCTGTCTTCATAACCTCAGACAGTTTTTATATCCTGTTTGCCAACTACCTGAGACTCTGACCACACCTCTCTCTCACTCCAAACTGTACAGGATGTGGGGCTCCACTCATTCATTTGTTCAATCATTCATTCACTCTTTCAGTAATCACGGGCTAAGCAGCTTCAGTGAGCCAGACAAGGCTCAGCCTGGAGACACATGATTAAAGCCACGTAGGATACCTGAGAGGGAGCACTAGCCCCTGAGGGCTACCTCCATCAACCATCCACCCACATGCACCCCTCTTCCTGCTTCTAGGCACACTGCCCTTTATTCTCTTCCTAAACACACCATTTGAGAGAATCCCTTGCCTTCACAATCAGGGTGTTTTCCATATCTGTGAGAGAACAGTAGCCTTATTGCAGTGATCAGCCCTGGGCTCCCAGGGACTCCCCGAGTCACACCTCTCCTCAACCCACAGAGGAAGCAGGGTGTACCCCATACCCAAGCCACTGTGGCAGCAAATATGTAAGTACAGATATGAGCACATGGAAGCTGCGGTCACCAGCAACAACACCATGAAGAAGCCCCTTTGACATTACAGGGAAGGGGCAGGGAGGGACTTCTCGGTCACTTTGTACAGTTAGGGTTCCTACAAGGCTCCTGCAAGCACTCTCCACCAGAATGTTCCTTACATGGTTTGAGGTTTGCTCATGACCCCTTTGAAGGTTCACATGGCCAGCATCTGCTGGGTATCCACCTGCCTCCGTGCCCAGGTGAGCTGGCAGGGAGGACGGAGAGACCAGGTTAGGCTTCATACAGTCCAAGTGGCCTTCAGGATCTCCCCCTCCTCTCAGATAGGAAGCCCCACCCCTGCGTGCATCGGAGACTCCAGGAAGCAGTGGAGTCTACACCAGCAGCTCACCTCTGCCTCCGAGCTCCACACTCCTGTTGCCTTGGGCTGTTGCCTGGTCAAACTTATTTTTCATAAACACTGCTAGTTGCCTGGCCTCTGGGGACAGATTTGTGTGTTGTCTGTGCTAATTGGTGGCCTGATGTAGTGACATCTCTGCTCCTCCTCCTAACAAGTGGGTCCCAGGAAGATTCTAAAATGACACACTTCCCAAGATTAGGACACAGTGTTGGGCTACGACCATCTGCTGTTAGCATTCTGGAAGTTTCTGGGGCTGACAACCCTGGTCAATTGCCTAGGCTAATCTGCTCTTGAAGAGCAGGGTGACTTCCAATGAAGTGCTCAATGACAGAGCCTAATCACAAAGTTTCAACTGCTCAAGTTCTCAACTGAACGGGCCAGGGTCAGGCCCAGGTAGAGCCTCACAGTAGACCTGGCCCTAGACTGGGGCTGCAGAAAGACATGTTATACCTGGGGAAGCCAGCACAAATAGTCCCAGTGAAATCATGCCACAATGGAAGGAAGTCCATAACTAGGGAGGCTCCTATAGGTTTATTTTCGTTTTAAAATAGTGTCTCGTGTAGTCCAGGCTTGCTTTAAACTCCGACCCTCATGCCCCCACCTCCCAAATGGCAGGATTAGAGGTGTGTGCCTGCATGCCTGGAACAGCTCCTTTGTCTATGTGACAAGATGACAGAGAAGGTAACAGAGCCAGCCCACCCAGCACAGCCTCACTATCGGCACAAAACAGTAAAGCCACATTGGTATTTAAAGTGAACACAGTGCCTGACTCCTTTCACTGGACACACAGGACGGTCAGAAATTCAAGGTCAAAGGTCATCCTCGGATACATGGTTAAGTTTGAAGCCAGCATCAAGGAGATACAGGAGACCTTGTGTGTGTGTGTGTGTGTGTGTGTGTGTGTGTGTGTGTGTAATTGTAATTTTTGACAAAATGCTTCTAGAGCTAATGTTTCTTCTCCACATACATACAAGCTCATGTTTGGCACACAGGAGAGGATACATACATACATACACACACACACACACACACATTAACCTCTCCACTGGATTCAGCATATACACACACACAGACACTAACCTCTCCACTAGACTCAGCATACACACACACAGACACTAACCTCTCCACTGGACTGAGCATGCACACACACACACACACACACACACACACACACACACATCTCCGCTAGACCCAGCAGCTCACCAGCTCTTCTCTTCACCTTCCCAGCATCCAGTGAGAATTGCCCAGAAAATCTAGGACCATCCGGTGGCAGCTAGGAGCCACCAAGACAGATCCTCCTGTACCAGGCAGCTGCGTACCTTCATGCTTATAGGTCATCTCCTGGCAGCCAGAGAAGTACAGGCACACGAGGGCACAGAGGCAGAGGAAGAAGGAGAAGTAGAGAACAAACAGGATGTACTCCATGCTGGGGAGGCTCCAGGAACTGCTAGCCTGTGCTGGCTGGACAGGCCATCCCTGGCTTCTCTCTAGCCCCAGAAAAAGACACACCTGCCCCTCACGGCTTCCTGAATACTGTCAGTGGCAGAAGCTGGAGGACAGGGACGCCCCAAAGGTGCCCCCTTGGCAACAGCGATGGCACCTTGGACCAGCTCCCAGATGCCGGTGACAGAGCTATCAATGGAGAGTAGCCAGTTTCCAGGCCAGCCCCAGGTATTTGTCATAGAGCGCAGCTTCTAAACCAGTATGTCCTCTGGGGACTTCCCTCCTAGGACCCAATGTCCCTATGCCCAGAACTGTTGTCAACAGTCCCAGGTCCCTGGATAGTTGCAAAGCCCTTGGGCACAGCAGTAGCAACGGTGTCATGATGAGAGCCTTCTGCTTCAGGGCCAGAGCCACAAAGGATGAGGCGTCTCTTCTCTCACCTGCCTGGGACATCTCCAGAATAAACCACCACCAGTGGGTGTCCTGGCACACTCAGCCCCTACTGTCCCCGAAATGTGTCTCTTAGAGTTTATTTACCTTAAACTCTTACACAACCTGCAACAAAGCACTACAGAGAGTTGGGGGAAGCTTTGATTCCTGAGCTACAGGAAAGCCATCCATCTCTCGCCCAGACAGAGATCGGGGGTTGGCTTTAGGCATGCAGCCCTTAGAGAAGTGCCACAAAGACATCCCTCCCAGCATCTCTCCCCACAGGGGCCAAGGACCAGCCTTGCATTCAAGTTGAGCATAAAATCTGACAGCTTCATGCAGTCACTGCTCTGAATCTCTAGGTTTGTAGGGTGCTATGCTGGCAGCTGTGCCTCAGGGACACACAGGACAGGATGAAGCCACCCAAGCTCCCAGGGCAACAGCTGGAGAAGGGCTGACTAGGAACGGTTTGTTCAGTTGCAAACAAACATAGGGATAGAAGCACTTTTAGCTGCTGAGGAGCAAAAATCACACTGAAAACCAGTAGGATGTCCTAGGCAGGAAGTCACTCCACAGCAGTGTCTGCTCCAGAAGTGCCCAACGTTTCTCTGGCCCCACCCTCCACAAGTAGCAGGGCTAGCCTCAAGGCACTGGATTGTAGGACTCCTAAGTGTGATGTCAGAGTGGACTCAGGAACAATAAACCAGAAGGATCTGAGTCAGACATCAGACATGAACTACTTACTGCTGGCAGTAAGCCAAGGCCCCTAGAGGAGAGGGGACTCAGATACATAGCCCAGCAGGCCCTGAAGCCTTTCTGGTTGACACCACCATAGGATGCTAACACTGGCTCAAAGGCTATAGTGTGGATTAGAGGGACCCAAGCATCTGCATTTAGGCCAACCACAATACCCTAGAGCTAGCCTCAGCTATCAACCTAACACAGCCTTGATCTGTCTGAAGGAACCTCAATTAAAGAACTGCCTTGACAGGATTAGCCTGCAGCCATGTCTGTGAAGAACTATCTTGGTGACTAATGTGGGAGGGGCCCAGCCCACTGGGGACACTGCCATCCCTGAGCAGGTCCTGTGCTGTAGAAGAAGGCTAGCTGAGAATGAGTCAGAGAGCAAGCCAGTAACTAACAGTCCCCCATGGTCTCTGCTTCAGTTTCTGCTCAGATTCTGCCTTGAGTTTACGTCCTGACCACCCTTGATGACAGACTGTAACCCATGAACTGAAATAAGGGCCTTCCTCCCACAGTCATGGGGCTTACTTAGCAATAGAAAGCAAACAAGAAGATGCGGCAAGGGTCTCGTCAAAGACAAATTGGGAAGGAAGGAGGCATTATCATTTCCTGACCGCCTACGATGGTCAGGCACAGAACCAGGGCTCCATTATGACCTCCTGATCTGAGTGTGATTTCGTTTTGAGAACCAGGAAGCAGGTTCTAGGACCTTAGTTCCCTTGTCTCAGGCCTTAGAGCTTATGCTGGGGCTGATTCCTCAGTGCTCCAGGTCTTAGCTTCTCAGCACCATCGGAGATCCCCATCACCCACGTGCTCAGAGCTCTGCTAGCGTTCAACCCTCATGCCTACAGAACAGCAGCTATTGACAGCCTGCAGCCCAGCTCATTGCCCCATACTGGGACCCCCTTGTTGACAGACCCCTGCAGAGAAAGATCCCTAGACCCAAGGACAGGGCCCAAGAAATCATCTAGGGTCCCCTGCATCTCTCACTAGGAACTAATGTTAGCCTGGCCTAAGCTAGCAGGAGGCACAGAGAGTCGGCACAGTCTTGGCCCAGAGGGAATCCCATGGTGGGTGAGGGTGCTCCTGGGAAGCCCAGGGTGACACGAAGATAGTCCTTAGGACTGAAGAAACCATTTAAATATGAGGGTTGCCATTGGAGACACTGCCCTGTCTCTATCACCTGTACATCAGGGTGCGCTGTGATGTGGAGGGGCCCTCTTTCCTAGAGTGTGATGGTCAATCTTACTGTCCATCTGAATGGACTGATATAAACACCTAGGAAAATTACTCAAGTATACCTCCAGAGACTATCAGACCACAACCATCAGACGGTTTCAGGCTTTGAGTAGCTGGTCAAGAAGTGGTTGAAACTTGGAGATGGGGCCTGGCTGGAGGAAGCAGGTCACTGAGGGAGTGTCTCTGGGACTGTATCTGCCCTGGCCCTTTCCTGTATGCCTTTTCTCTGCTTCCTGTGAAGCATGTGAGCAGCTTGTGCCACATGCTTCTGCTACCATGATGCTCTGGCTCACTAGGGGCCCAGAATCAACAGAGTCAGCAGGATTGACAGTGCCTTCAGAGGCTGTAAGTCCAGCCAAGCCCTTCCTCCCCTAAGTTCTTTCTGGCAGATATCTGGTCTCCATGGTAACAGGAGTAACTAATTCAGGGGTCCTCAGAGTCTAGGGGCTTCTCTAGGGTCTAGGTATCAGGAGTCAAGAGCATGGATGAATTTCTGAGACTTCTGAAAAATTTTATAATTGTCAATGAATTCATTCAAATGGCCTGTGAAGCTGGAGAACCTGGCAAAGGGACATGGTCCCTGGATATACACCATACAGAGTAAAAGGGGGTCACTTACAGGGAGAGACAAAGAAACCACCAGTACTTTATTTAGCCTGTAGGAGGAGACAGGGATGCACCAGGCCTGAAGGGTACCAATGTGGCATGGAAGATTACAGTCATGCTCAGGCCCAAAGACCCCATCACTTGTCCACTTGGTCTGAACAGGGCTGGGGTGAAAAGTAGGATCCTGGGATGAAAGACAACCTACATGAATCTAGAGAAAAAGATGTCCCAGGAAACAGTAAGAGGGAAACCACTTCCCATGGGCTGAGATACAGATCAACTGCGGAAGGGCTTACCTAGCAGGCACAAAGGCCTGCGTTCAGTCTCAAACACTCCATAAGATGGGCTTGGTGGAGCGCATCTGTAACCCCACCACTCAGGAAGTGGGGATGGATGATCTCAACAACACACAGAGATCAAAGCCAACTTGGGCCATAAGCAATCCTACCTTTAAGAAAACAAAATCCATACAGGTTTCCCAAATCCAACCTTCTAGGGTTCTCACTAATATACCCATATACCCCTGCTTCTCTGAGGTAGGCAAAGTCCTTCAAATGCATTTCTCAGGAGAGGCTGTGTACCTAGTCAGTCAGCCGTTCTTTGGAGACACCTGTTCTGTGCCAGTCACTGTTTAGAGACAGGTGTGGCCCACCCTGACTCAAGCCAGTGTACGGTCTCTCCCAATCAGTAGATTCAGAGCTCAGAACCAGTGGAGGACACAGGCTGTTTGACTCCCAAGATGCAAGCACAGGTTGAGTGCCCCTATCGGAGATGACTGGAAACACAAGTACTTTTAATTTCTGAGTTTTTCTGATTGGCAGGATTTCTTTAATAGACTTTATCAGTTAAGTATCCCTAATCCAAAACCTGAATTTTTTTATTTGATACTGAAAATATTTTAAGTTTCAAAATTAGGGCTTGGGATTAAGGCTTCACAGACCACGTAGGCTTAAAGTAGTGCTACTTCAGAACAGGTTTCTAGGGAACCTCTAATTATGAACTGTTTCATGCCAAGCCTCCTCACTGAACTGACCAGCCGCCCACTTCCAGTATTTTAACTCTGGTCTCAAAAGCACTGTTTGCAGGTGTCACAGCCTTCTTCTGGCAGCAGGGGGCGCTTTCTCCTCATTAAGCCCATGTTGCAACCACTGAGATGGTATCAGACAGAACCATCCAGACTTTCTGTGCAAAATGACTTTACTTCGGTGACATTTACTGGAGCAAAATGTCCCACAGAAAGGGAAAGGGCAGGCAAATAATTGTACAGTCACCAAACGCAGTTAGTGGAATCAGCTGAAGACTGTCGTGTGGAGTCATCATAAGGCAAGATACTGTGGCGTTCTCCTAACCACCAGAGTAAACATGTCCGCAGCACTGAACAAGTTTATGGCCTACGAATTCAGCAGATTATGTGGCAGTAAACATTCATATTTCTGATAGCAGCATATGGTTATGACAAACATTTCCAGTGTTAATGATGAGTGAGAGGCAGTTAAGTCCCAGATACGTGTAGGACAGACACTGGCCCAGGGGACATGCCACAGGGACATCCCTTTCTATTCCCTAGCTTTTCTAGGATGTGGTCAACAGGTCTGTGAATATAAGCAAGCTGGCTGGACCATCTCCTGATCCTTTTGTTCCTGTTTGGTTGGTTGGTTTTGAGGTGTTTTATTTTGTTTTAGAGAAGGTCTTTACTACGTAGCCCTGGCTGAGGTGGCTTGAAACTCGCTATATGTGTAGATCAACCTGGTCTCAAACTGCCTCCCTCTGCCACCAGAGTGTTGGGATTAGAGTTGTGCAGCACCATGCACTGCCTTCTGAGCGTCTAAGATCAGCACACAGAGACCGGCCCCTGACTCAGCTCAGCCCGCTGGAGACAGTGTGCCCAAGGCTCGGCCCCATCAGTCCACTGGCTCTTCAAGTTGGCTCTACATCTCTGTCTCCCATAACTGAAAGAGCCAGGGTAGCTCTGGGGATGAATTGAGATGGAGTGCTGGCCACTAATTAATCCAAGTAACCATGGGCTCAGACACTGACCCCAGTGGCACCACAGAGGGGCCACATATGCATTTACATCCACGTTAAAAATTCTCGGGCTTTATATAGAGGTATCATGACTAAATAATGTCCCCTCAAAAGATATGCTGAATTTCTGACTGTGCTGCTGCAGAATGTGGTTTTTTGTTTTGTTTTTGTTTGTTTGTTTGTTTGTTTGTTTTGGTCAGTGCAAAGATAACTGTGGTCGAGGTACTGACGAAGTACCTCACACTGAGGCACTGTAGGCTCTGAACTCAGTACGTCCAGTGTCCCTAAAGATGACAGTGTGACCCAGCAGTGGACTGGCAGAGGGCAAGGAATACCCACCATCATCGGAATACCCCAGAGCTGGAGGAAATGGAAAGGGAGGCCCTCCAGACACCAGAGGGAAGAAGCCTGGCCTCATCAGCACCTGAGGCCAGGCTTCTGGTCTTATGACTTATAAGACACTAACTTTCACTCATTCCAAGGGACCCATTTTTGTTCATATAGTCCTGGGAAAGTAATATGTACAGATTTACACTTCCCTCGCCTCTTGGCTTATTGATACAGGGTCTCATATAGCCCAGGCTAGCCTCAAACTCATCAACTAGCTAAGGGTAGTTTTGAACTCTAAATCTTCTCATTTCTACCTATCCAGTGCTGGGGTTGCAGGCATTCTCCACCAGTCTGAGGCAAAGACTCATGCTTCCCTTTAAACACTGGAATGCCCGACACCATTGGCCCACCTGGTGTCAACCAGTGTTCTGCACTAGATAAGGGTTGTCCCCACCGCTCCCTGCTGTCACCCTGACTCCACCGGGGAGTGTGCACTTGGCCATTTGCTGTCACACCTACGCAGTTTTTCTTACACAGAAGTAATTCTCCACAACCATCTCTATCAGTAGACGAAGCCGCCAGGTTCCAGTTCAGGAAGGGGCAGAGATCCGTCTCAGATAGGTGGCCAGGGGGACTGACATGCAAACCACAGCTTCTTCTAAACCTCCCTGCGGGCCTCTAAAGTCTCCCCATCCAGCCCTGCACTCTCCTGCCAGAACACCTAGACAGCCTCTGGGAGACAGCACAGTTGCATTTTACAAAAAGAACTTCATTCTGCATCTTTGAACAAAGCGCCTGAGATTCCAGAACACACAGTTAGGAGGCATAAATGAGGCTGGGTGTCCTTCAAATCCCTCAGAAGGCCTGAGTACTTATGTTTTTAATTTTGGATGCACATAACCCAAGGTCCAAGCACAGAATCCATCAGTAAGTGTTCTATGAGTAAATTAACGTATCTGGGTGACACGATAATGTATGGAGCCTTGCCACAGCCAGAAGAGCCTTTCTTTCAACAGCCAACACACAGCTGTGTCGCAGAGTCCTGTCTCTGCCTCTGGGCCTGTAATTGGCCCCGTGACCCTCCTCTCCTATAAGACTGGCTTGTCGTTTAGACTCATGACAGACACTAAGGCACGCTCACCTTGGGGGGCTTCAGGCTCTTCCCTCGATGCCTCTTGGAGCGCAGCAGGCGTTCTCTTTCCTGCCGGGAAGAACAGTCACCTGTGAGCACATGCAGCCAGGCCCCTACCACACAGAACCACACAGTTAAGATTTGGAGGTTCCGTGTGCCAACCTGCCTGCTTGCCTCTCTATCTGTGTGGCCTAGTTCATGCTGTATGAATCCAACTGAGAGCCTGGTAACAAGACACTTGTTCAGGCCCTTGTCATCCACCCTGATGGGCCATCTCACCACAGGCAAACCTGGATTATTCTTTGTGTCAAGAGGCTACAAAGCCTGAGCAGTGTGGCCTCACAGTGGTTTTGGTGGCCTTGGCAGGGTCTACCTGCGATAGCAGCAGTGGGATGCTTATGGGTTTGAGCTTGGACAGAGGCAGTGTGGAATCCCCCACAACCCTTGTACTGGCTGGGTGACCACTGTATTTTCTCCAGTTGTATCTTTTTTGATATGTGGGGCTAAGAGCTCCCTGTAGTATTGCTTGGTTGGGGTCCTCTGCAGAAAGGAGTGGCAGTGCTGGGGACGGCACTGTACCCAGACAAAGCCAGGGCCTCCTGCTCTCAGCACTCCCTCCTTTCCCTCCAGCAGGACAAAGCTGGGACTCGGCCTGACCATACACCCACTGGATCCTGGCAGACTGGTTATTATGCTCCCCAGCCCTGCTTTGGCTTGTCATATTTCTTTTCACTCACTGTCTCTTTATTGAGTGCGTCTTGTCATCCTTAGCTACACTATGTCATCTAGGTAATGAAGCCGAGATGGATGGCTACATGGATAGTGGAAGTGAGAGAGGGAGGGAAAGGCAGGGGGAGGAAAGGAGGATAGAGGATGGGCACTACTTCTCATGAAACCCGTCGAGGATGTGATCATGGTTTCCTGCCTTTCAGAGTCCTGTCGATGGAGCCATCGTGCACACACAGGTCTCATGAGCAAGCAGAGCCCATTCTGCTTCTGAGATCCAACTGAAGCTCACTGCAGATGTGCCTGACTGCACTGCTGGGTGCTATCTTTGGGATAAAACACCCCCTCTCTACTGCAGGTTTGCTCCCCTCTCCTTTCAATGTAACCACCCCTGAGCAGTCATGAAGCCCACACGACAGCCTCAGCTGGTCCTTCAAACTCTGATCTGATGACAAAGTACAGATTTGCAGGCTCAATCTCACGGTATGCAATAGCTAAATTAAAAAATGAATCCAAGTTAATAATAACTCAAAGGCCCCTCAGAACAGATCCAGGCTGCCTCTTCACCAGGGCAAGCCAGGAGCCCACTGAAAAGTGGGTTGCCATGGAGACTGTTCCCAGGTAGCACTGATCTCATTTCAACCAAGCTGAGGCTGCTTCCTGGAGATCACAGGGGACCCAGTGCCTGAAGCTGGGCTGTCAGGTCCCACTCCCACCCTGATGCCCACTCTTGACTCCGCCTCCTGGGGTGACATCCTGACCAAAAGTGACAACATACCAGAGAGAGGTCATCGATGACATGCTGCTGTTCCAGCACCTGCAGCCTCAGGAACTCTATCTCCTGCTCATCCCTGGTCAGACTGAGGTCATTCAGGGATGTGTGTCGCTTTAGCGAGGCCTGAGCAGACAGCTTTTCTTTCTGCAGCCAGAAAGAGAGAGGGTGGTTCGGTGTGCTACAGTGTGAAAGATGGCACTGCTGTGGGGCTCAGGGGTGGGGGTGACAGACGCCTGGTCCCAAGATAGGGAATACACACAGCTTCAGGCCAAGGCCAAGCCAGGTGTGGTCAGTGATGCTCACTGGAAGGGGATGGGGTGGCGGAGCAGGGGGGCAGGGGATGTTCTGAATGATCCCTGAAAGCCAGAAGGCAGCACAGACAGGGGGAACACCCCACCACAGACTGCCCGAATTCATACCTGAGCCCCAGTCTTCTAAGCTGTGAAATGGGCAATCTAATCAACGGACCTGAAAGCATCTTACAAGCCACCCAGAGCACAGACACCAGTCATCCTTGCTAGGGGAAAAAAACCTGTCCTCATGCACAGCCCTTTCAGAAGTGACTGTTTCCAGAGGAGTCCATGAAGCATGAGCCAGCCATGGGCTATAATCCATCCAGTGGATAAGCCTGCCCTACTGATTCTGCCCTTCCCTCCTCCGGGAAACACAGGGGATGGGGCAGGCACTCTGGCAGAACACATGTAGAGATGCAGAGAGGAGCAAGAACAGCTGGGACCGAGCCTACTGCTGAGGTGTCACAGGGTGGGGAGAGATCATGGACCGCAGGGTCTGGCCTGGAGGGAAGCTGGGTGAGTCCAGGGCCGGGCCTCACCATCTCCACATTCTCCCTCGTGAGGCTCTTGAGTTTCTCCTCCATCCTCTGGATGCTGTGCAGCAGGTCCTCGTTCTTTTTGTTCATGCGTTTGTTCTTCTCGACCAGCGGCTTCAGCTGCACCTCCGTCTCCCGAGAGCGCTTTAGCTGCGGCGGGTACAGACTCAGGTCAGGGGGCTGCACAGCCCCGTGGGTGGCCACACTCCACCAGCAAGACAGCAGAGCTTCAACATGGTCCCCCTTCAGAAGCATGACCCCCAGAGGTCAATCCAGCCAGCCACCTAGTCTTTTCCCGGCCCCTCTTTGGCAGGCCACAGGGCAACACCCTGCGGACAAGAGCCCTGGGCTCAGTTCTGAGTATAACCCTACAGCCTGGAGGGATTCACTACAACCTCTGAGCGACAGTCCCCGCAAAGGTGGAGTGTCTTTCCATGCTGTCATTCATTCAGCCTCTGGAAACCCCTTTGTGCCTCTCTTGTCCGTTTGGTCTTCACCCCAGTTCCCAACATCTTTGAGTGGGAAAATCTTTGTGGTCAGATTTACCTTCTAAAACAACCCGTGGTATGAGGGCCAGATCAGTGGGACATCGACTAGTGAGAGGTCACAGTGGCCACCAGGGAGGAGGGGCAGAGTCCTCCGTGGTTAAAAGTGGCCACTCCTTTTCCTTTTGAGCACAGCCATGGTCAAGTTTTCAGCCTGCTTCCTCATCTATAAAACTGAAGTAACAGCCTCATCTGCTTCAGACTCATGATGAGCATCTGTCTTCACAAAGCTTTTACAATGAACCAAATGTAAAAGCAACTGAAATGTCCCCATGTCAGCACCACAAAAGTGGCGGCCATGTGACCAAGCCCTCACCAGGAGCCTGAATGAGCTCTGTCCCTCTCAGCTCACTTACCTAGACCCCCAACTATCCGGGAGGGCCATGGCCACTATGCTGTGCACCAGAGTGTGAGCAGAGAGGTGGCCCTGTGGTCCCTAAGGGCACAATCACAGTACTCGAACCAGGAATCCAATACAGAGGCTGACCCCAGCACCTACCCTCAATCCCTGTGAAAACTGAACACTCTGATGCTGCCTGTCAGAGACCAAAGGTACCATGTGACCCATGAGCCACTTCTACTCCTGCTCTCACCCCAGAAAGGATAGCTACAGACCCTCTAAAGCAAAGACAGGCATGGGGCTTCTTGCATTGTTTATAACAGTAAAGAAGCCAGAAGCGGCCTGAATGGCCACCAGGAAGGGGTGGCCAGCGAGGCTATGACACTACCACACTATGAAGTCCAAGACAACCATGAAAAGACCACTACTAATCAATGAAGATGACTGCACTGATAAATCTATGTTTAAAGGACACCTTGCAGAGCACTGAAAAAAACCCCACTTCACAAGTGCAACGTCAAACCAAACACCCTTTGGGTGTGATTTGTTTACTAAAGTGAAATGTGTAGCCGCCCAGGTCAGGAGCCACTGCACCATGGGAAATCCAGGTGCTGACTACCTCACTCTTTCTGCCTGAAACTTGTTCAGGCAGTCCATGTGTTTGTCATACACTCAATAAATTACCATGTGACTCATAAGTATTTATTCAGCTCATGAATATTTAAGCAAGAAGTAGAAACATAATGAGTATACAGTCTGATCGGAGCTATACACTAGGAAGAAAGTAATTTTGTTTCTGCTAAACCTGTGAAAATACATGTCCCTTCACAACCAAGACCAGAACAAGCAGCAAGATCATGAGGCTTTTTCCAAAAGTTTCATACATTAACAATGGAAAGTAGCTTAGCTGGGGCCAGCAAGATGGCTCAGCAGGCAAAGGTGCTTGCTGCCAAGCGTGCTCACCTAAGTCCCATGACCAAACCCACACAGTGGAAACAGAAAGTCAAGTTCCCAAAGTTGACTTCTGCCCTTTACAAGAGTAATGTGGCACACGGAAGGAAGGAAGGAAGGAAGGAAGGAAGGAAGGGAGGGAGGGAGGGAGGGAGGGAGGGCAAAAGAAAGAAAGGAAGAAAGAGAGAGACAGAGGGAGGGAGGGACAAAGGGAGAGAAGTTTTAAAAAACAAAATTAGTTTAGCTATTTCTATAGCAAAATTAAGCATATTCGTGCAAATACTAGTTTTACAAAAGATTTGTTTTAAATAAGTCTGTGTTCATTATACATGTATGTGTGCACATATACAGAAAGAGAGAGAGAGAGATCTGAGACAAGGTGTCACGTAGCTCAGGCTGGCCTCACAACCTTAGCTCAGGCTAGCCTCACAACCTGAGACAAGCTGAAGTACAACCTGGAACGTCTGACCCTCCTATCTTCACCCCGATGGTGCTGGAATTAAAGGCTGGAATTACATGTAGTTTATGGGGTGCTGGGTATGAAACCCAGGGTTTCCTGTATGCCAGGCAAAGACTCTAGCAACTAAACTACCAGCATGCATGCTCATCCTTTTTAAAAATAGAAATGTATCAACGTTTATGCCAAGTAAATAAAGGAAAAATCGAGCTATCCACAAGCACACCACCTAAAAGAACAGCTTTCTGTATCCAAAACAACTCCAAAGCCTGCTCTGTACTCTGCTTCCATCCTGCAATTTAAGGCAAGGAGTCTCCCTGACGGCAACACCTGCTCCTTGTCACAGTGCTGCATCAGTCTGAAAACTCCCACAGACCCTGCAAGGAGGCTTTGGTATTGATTGTCTGTGTTCGCTGTTACTTTCTGTTGATAATATTGCAAAACCCTGCAGAGATCACCCTCAACGGCACCCTCTCTCATTGACTCCCCAGCTCTTTTCTAAGGATGGATCCCTACATAGACAATAAGCAAAGGGATGTCTTCCATGAGTGTCACACACACACACACACACACACACAGAGAGAGAGAGAGAGAGAGAGAGAGAGAGAGAGAGAGAGAGAGAGAGAGAG